TAATCAAAATATTTACCCTCATCCATACTCCATACTAATATTATAAATGCGAAAATAACTCTGTCTATCTGTCTCGGTTTCACGCCAAAACAAAAACACATTTAAATGATTTTAATTTAATTGAAAAGCATAGAATAAATATTTTTTCTTTCTTTCTTTCTAAATGAAGTTTAAATCTGTTCAAATAGTAAATAGTACACAGGTAGTCCCTGACAAAGGAGATAGGCTCCTTTTTAATTCGAAAAAGGGTTGTAAGGGATTGAAAGGGAGATTAAAATTTGTATAGAAAATCGCCATTTTTGAAGCTAGAGTATGTAATTATGTAATTATGGTAGAAATCAAGCATACGGCTCATCTGATGGTAAACAGTTACTGTAGCCTACGATCGCATGAATTATTCGACATTAGATTTCAATAAAACAAAAATAGTAGACAAAACTACTGAACCGATTTAAATGCAATTTGGTACTAGTCCAGACCCTGAGGTTACTTTTTAATGGTAATGGTGAAAAAGGGTTGTAAGGGGTTGAAAGGGGAGATTAAAATTTGTATGGAAGTATTGTCATTTTTGAAGCTAGAGTGATGAAACTTTTTGTTGGATTATTGAATATTTTTTCTTTATTTGGTCAAGGTGTCTATAATATGCGAAGTCGCTGGCACAGCTAGTAATCTATTGCTACCATCTAATTAGTTCATGCATGCCTAATTGCCTATATGATAAAACTCTGGGGATCTAGACTCGACAAATTGCGTGAAATCATTTTGTACTGCGTCCCGGGAAGGAAATTTTTTATTAAGTAGAAAATTTAGTTCAGTAGTATAGTAGTTTTAATTATTTATGACATTTTTATTAAATTCGACTATTCTAATTTTTATTAGATTAGACGGGCGCGGTCGTCTAGCGGTTTAGCACGACGCTTGACTACCTTGGTCGTGGGTTTGATTCCTCGCGGTGCAAACATTTTTATGCATGACTGATTGTTTATATCAGTCTGGGTGTTTTCTATATATATTACGTATGTATTTACAGAAAAATCTAAGTATATCTGTTGCCTAGTATCCATAACACAAGTTATGCTTACCGTGGGACTAGATGGCGTTATGTTAATTGTCCAGGGTTATTTAGTAATATCATCATGCTCCACTGGTGCTCCGCTAGTGTTAACCATTCTATTATCACCAATGAAATAGTATTTAATATATAAACGTGACTATACAGATTTTATTACATGTGTTTACTCATTTAACTATATTTTTGTCTTATCTGTCTTTATCAGCGAGTAAAACGATCAGTGAATGTTGTTGTGTAGTGATATATGTATGTATGTCAGTGGTATTTTTATAAATTATTGACTGTTTGACAAGTGGATGTGATGGCAAACGATTGGGTCAGACAACAGGTGAGTAATCTCATAATTATATATATATAAATTTTAAGTAAAAATATTATAAGTATAATCATATAGAAAATTTATTAAATTTTATTTAATTAAACTCTTTATTACATCAGATATAGAAAATAATTTAAATTCAAAATCAAAATATCTTTATTCTTAATTAATAAAAGAAATTCTTAATTAATAATCAACTTAATATAAGCACCTTTGAATAGTCATAGTTATAATTCTTTTAATCTACCGCTCATTCGGAAAGCTGTCTCATCACAAGAAGAACGAGCAAGAGACTTGTGTGTTGTTTTTTTAATTGGTCATTGTAATTTTACATTTCCAATTTGAAACGTGCAAATACAAACCACCAACTGCCACTAATTTATATAACTAAAACAAAAGTAGCTTAAATTACTCCTAATTACATTAGCTACCTGCCAATAAAAGTCCCGTCAAAATCGGTCCAGCCATTTCAGAGATTGACCGGAACAAACAGACAGACAGACAGAAATTGTACATAATGTTATTTTGGTGTATATACCGTATTTATATTCATATGCATACAGTAAAAAACGATTATTTCAATATTTGACTACCTCGGTGGTCTAGCGGTCTAGCACACCGCTTTGCGTCCGATGGTCGCGGGTTCGATTCCTCGCACGGCACAAACATTTGTATCATGAGTGTGATTGTTTGTATCGGTCTGGGTATTTTCTATGTAAAATATGTATGTATTTAAGAAAAAAAATTATCTATGTATTTGTATCAGTAATCTTAGTACCCATAACACATGCTTTAGCTAGCTTAACTTGGATCTAGATGGCGCTGTGTGAATTGTCCTCAGATTATTTATTTAATATTACAAAGAGACACTCCAATTTTATTTATATGTATAGATATATATCGAGTGTTGCGTTCACCACAACATCGACAGTTAACAATGTCTCTGATTACTCCGTCTCAGGTAAGAGTCGTGATGGTATGTTTGATTTGATTTGAAATACAATAGATATTACATACTGATGAGACAACACAGTTTTTTATCTTCATGTAAGACGCCTGGGTGTGTATTATTTGATAAGTATTATATTTCTTATCACAATATATTACAATAACATATATATATATATATATATATATACATATATATACTATCAGACCCGGCCACGTGTTGCTGTAGCTAAGGTTCTCAAATAAAATAATATTGCAACTATAAATTGAGATGTACGCTATCCTATCTTTCAAGTTGAATCAAATTGCACACAATGTGCAAATCAAATTTGCAATCATTTCTACTGAACTTCTACTGAACCGCTATGCACTCCTAAACTGTTTAGGAGTGCATCGCGGACAAACAACGTGACACGTAATTTTTATATATTAAGATTTAAATGCAGTAGGCAATTTATTTTCGTCGTCCTTTATTATATGTTATATATTTGACGGCTCGGTGGTCCAGTGATTTAGCACACCGCCTAACTTCCGATGGTCGCAGGTGCGATTCCGCGCACGGTGCGAACATTTGTTTTCATGAGTATGATTGTTTGTATCGGTTATATATTTACGAAAAAAAATATATCTATGTATTTGTATCAGTTATCTAGAACCCATAACAAGCTTTACTAAGCTAACTGAAAGAAATACTTAAACACATCGTTTTTGTAAATATATTCATATACATATAAAGCACCCAGTCCGATACAAACAATTATACTCATGAATACAAATTTGTACCGTGTGAATAGAATAGAATAGAATAGAAAATCATTTATTCAAATAAACTTAATTTAAGCACTTTTGAATAGTCATAACAATTTGTTTTTTATTTACCACTCGTTCGGAAAGCTGTCTCATCACAAGAAGAACGAGCAAGAAACTTGTGTGTTGCTCTTTTAAATAATCCTTGTAAGTTTACAATTACAAGTCGAAACGTGTGAATACAAACTACCAACAAGCACTAATTTTTTGGGTCAAATATAATCATGCAATAAGATTAAATCAGTCGTAGTGATAAGAGCAGACCAGTCCCTACAAGCAGCACTCGTTCACGAGTATGACGGATGAGCCAGCCATCACTGCGCTCGACCATATTTTAGGGAGCCCATTGACCCGGCCCACCACGCCGCCACATGTCTCTGTGAGGAATCGAACCCGCGACCATTGGATAGCGGTATGATAAACTACCGAGGTCATTACGGCGTTGATTATCATGACAGTCACGTTTACCCAATTAGTTGTAGTTGTTTTATATAAAACAAACATAGCGTGTAAGGTCGATGGTGTGTTAAGGCCACGTCTATACCAATTTGGGTACAGTTTGAACATAATCCATGTGTGAAACATTACCGATATGGGTGGAAGTTATTTACTACTAGCTGTTCCCGCGACTTCGTCCGCGTGGAATTTAGCTTTATTTTTCCAAAATAAAAGATATTTCTAAAATAAAGGTAGCCTATGTTACTCGTTATTACATCAGCTACCAGCCAAAAAAGTAACGTAAAATCGGTCCAGGTCCGGTCGGTCCATTTCAGAGATTAGCCGGAACAAACAGACCGACAGACACAGACAAATATTGTAAAAAGTGTTTTTTTGTTATATGTACCGTATTTATATTCATATGCATGTAGTAAAAAAACGGTTATTTCAATATTACAAACAGACACTCCAATTTTATTTATATGTATAGATGCTGAGTTGGTTACCAAATATCTTTTATTCTTACTATTAACACTGTTATATTCATATCTCAAGACAATTCACACAGCGCCATCTAGTCCCCAGTTAAGTTAGCTAAAGCTTGTGTTATGGGTACTAGACAATTGATACAAACATATAGATTTTTTCGTAAATACACATACATATATATTATACATAGACAACAACTAGACGGATACAAACAATCGTACTTATGAATACCAATGTTTTTACCGTGCGAGGAATCGAACCCGCTAGCATCGGAAGTAAGGCAGTGCGCTAAACCGGTAAACCACCGAGGCCGTAAGTCATATTGCAGTCATTACACATACATTGCTAGCAGTAAGGCCACTAATTTTACCTATTAATCATTACTTACTAATATCTAGAGGGTAAGGGGATTATCAAAACTGTGGACTAATAACCCTAGTACTAGCAATCTACCATGCCAGGTTGACCTCCACGCGGTCACCCCTAGAAACCATCGTGATAAATTCACGCCGAATTTACCACGATGGGCTAACAGACCTGACCTCATGCTCATCTTATCATCCTCCACTGGTGTCCCGCTTGCGTAATGCCCAATTTACACTCAGCCCGAGTGGGCAGTGAAGTGAGCAGCGCGAGAGTGTAAACACGAGTGGAAACACTTCCCATGCCATTAGCGCTGCCACTCGCAATGTCCGGCGCTCCCTCGATTGTCGGTTTTTCGTGCGCGAGTCAAAGGACTGGCAGCGCGAGTGGCAGCGTGTTTTTACATTCAGCCCTCTAGCTCAGTTGTCGCCCGGCAATATTTCCGGCAGCGCGAGTGGCAGGGGAAGCGGCTGAATGTAAACGTAGCATAAACCGTTAGCGCAGGCGAGTGCAACATTCCTTTATCACCCATAAGTACTTACTACCATCTCTCTCTGCATCCAGATCCGCAGTCACCAGCGTACCCCGTCAGGGTCCAGGGACTTCAAGGAAGCAACCAAGCGCGATGCCCTCGCCAGGGTGGCCGTGGAACTGGAGAGGCTGGTCGGCACCATCCCGGAGAACAGACGGCCCCTCGTGGAGAAGGAGTTTGCCGGTTTCAAGAATTTGTTCAGCAGATTTTTAGCAGAACGTAAGTATTTTTTCATCGACTGGCAACATCAACGACAGATGTCATTATCACCTGGCCGTAATTCTTACTAATATTATAAATGGGAAAGTAACTCTGTCTATCTGTCTATCTTGCTTTCACGCCAAAACTACTGAAGCGATTGAAATTAAATTCGGTACACAAATAGTCGAGACCCGGAAAAAGGAGGTACATAGGCTACTTTTTAATACGAAAAAAATTGTAAAGGGTTGGTTGGCCATGTTTCCTCGTGGAAACCATTACGATAAATTCCTGGCGAATTTGCCACGATGGGCTAAGTGACCAGATAAGATAAGTATGAGGTCACTTATCTTATCATCCTCCACTGGTACCCCGCCAGCGTATACCGTTAGTGCAAGTAGGTGCATCATCATCCATTATAAGAAATAAATCATACCTTATAGCTTCTATTTTGTTACAGAGGGACCATCAGTAACATGGGAAAAGATCGAGAGATTACCAGAAGGTGCGGTCATAGACTACAACACGTTAGAGACGCCGACCACAGACAACGTACATCATATGCTGGATAAACTGGTTGTGGTCAAGTTGAATGGAGGTCTGGGCACATCTATGGGCTGTAAGGGCCCCAAGTCGGTGATACAAGTGAGAAATGAACTCACATTTTTGGATCTGACTGTACAACAGATTGAGGTATATATCATAGATAAATAAATATTACTATTGTAAATAAATAAAGATTCTATTTAAAATAATTAGATTCAATTAAGAAGTGGCAAGAAACTCAATAAAATTTCAATTTTTTTTTAAATGTCAGTTTATTTATATTGTTTGACATTGAATGAAAATCTCGTGCATGAACAGCTATTTCCATGCACGCTCGTCATTTAAGTAACCGTTTAGTGAGTAATAGGCTTTGCTCAGTATATATGTTTTGAATTTATTTAAGAGTAATTCCAGTATATCGTTCGCGTTACGGCGTTCCACAAGGGTCAATCATAGGCCCCTTTCTCTTTTTAATTTACATAAATGACCTTCCCTTTATTGTAGTGAAAATTGCAGATATACTGCCGTTTGCAGATGATACTTCGTTAGTGTTTAACGTGTAACTTTTCTTCTTTCTTATTGTAAATCCTGATTGAACTAACTCTTCCAGCACCTGAATAAAAGATACAAATGCAACGTACCATTGGTGTTGATGAACTCGTTCAACACGGACGACGACACGCAGAAGGTGATCCGCAAGTACCGGGGTTTGAACCTCGAGATCCACACCTTTAATCAGTCCTGCCACCCGCGCATCAACCGGGAGTCCCTATTGCCCATCGCGAAGAATGGTGACGTGCACTCTGATATCGAGGCGTGAGTATACCTTACTTCTTTACATAGTATAAAATGAAATCGGTGCCACTAAGCGACCAGTCATCTGTTAAAGGCTCCGGCTCGAAGGACCATGAAAAACCTTGAGGTCCTAAGGTAGTTACCCTAAGGTAAACCAAACACTTTACTTGTGTCTATATATATGGTTTATTGGTCGTTCACAAATACAGGTACACTTAGGTCGATAGAACCGTACAACATTCTCTAACATTCTACGATTAAGTACACAACATGACAACATCTCAACTGATTTTGCACAAAACGAAACGATGGCGCATTTTACTTTTATGACAGCGCCATCTAGTAACATTTGTGAGAATTAATTTTTTCTTATATTTCTAACACTACGGATTTTAATGTAGCTTTTAGCAGTACATAGTGATTCAAGAGGAAGGTTTATGTAATATGGAAGGTTTTTTTGTGTATGATAGTGAAATGGTGCACCCGCCTGCGCTAACGGTTTACGCTGGCGGGGCACCAGTGGAGGATGATAAGATGAATATGAAGTCAGATCAGTTAGTCCATCGTTACAAATTCACTAGGAATTTCTAATCGATGGCTTCCAGGAAAAACTGCGTGGAGGACGCACTAACATGGTACATTGCTAGCAATGGGATTACTAGTTCCCATTACTAACAATTCCTCCCTAATTTGGAAGGTATTTGTTTATACATGTACGCCCGTGTAACGCCGGAGCGGGTAGCTAGTCGTCTCTTCTCATCACCTTTTGTCAGGGTTACGGGAATGCGCGAGCAATCTTCCACAACACGTTGGCAATTATCTATAAGTGTATATTTATTTGATAAATCAATCAATAAATAATTTATTCTGATTGTCCTACAGGTGGTATCCACCTGGCCACGGTGACTTCTACGAATCCTTCAACAACTCTGGCCTCCTCCAAAAATTCATCAAAGAAGGTCGTACCTATTGCTTCATCAGCAATATCGACAACCTCGGAGCCACTGTCGATCTGAACATCCTAAACCTACTCCTCAATCCTGAACCACAACGTTCCACATCAGAATTCGTAATGGAAGTCACGGATAAAACAAGAGCTGATGTAAAAGGTGGAACTCTAATTCAGTATGAAGATAAACTTAGACTGCTAGAAATAGCTCAAGTACCAAAAGAGCACGTGGATGATTTCAAATCAGTTAGCCAGTTCAAATTCTTCAATACCAACAATTTATGGGCGAAACTCGACGCTATACAGCGTGTTGTCGAACAAGGATCACTAAATATGGAGATAATTGTGAACAACAAGCATTTAGGTGATGGATTAAATGTGATACAATTGGAAACAGCTGTAGGTGCTGCAATGAAGTGCTTCGAAGGTGGAATAGGCGTTAATGTGCCGAGAAGTAGGTTCTTGCCAGTTAAAAAAACATCAGATCTACTTCTCGTCATGTCGAATCTGTACAGTTTGTCTCATGGGTCGTTGGTCATGTCGCCACAGAGGATGTTCCCTTCAACACCACTCGTGAAACTGGGTGATAATCACTTTGCAAAGGTCAAGGATTTCCTGAACAGGTTTGCGACGATACCGGACCTTATTGAGTTGGACCATTTGACGGTATCTGGGGATGTTACGTTTGGCAGAGGAGTGTCATTGAAGGTGAGATATAAGTTTTAGTTTTTTTGACAAATATACCGAAGAGCAATTAGAGATAACACGCTGTCGCTTCTATATTTAGGAAGTGGTTCAGCGGTTTAGCGTTTCGCCTTACTTCCGGTGGTTACGGGGTCGATTCCACAAAGTATAGATAATGTGAAGTGAAGTGAATGTGAAGATGCCTAGCATACAGAGACGAAAGAATCACCAAAACTTTAAATAGAACTTTGACAACAATATCTCTTAAGAATACATTTTAAAAATTTCGGCCGTCGGTTGATTTTATAAAGAACTTGTGTAATGCTGAAATCGCTCTTATTTTCCAGGGTACAGTGATCATAATTGCGAATCATGGAGATCGTATTGATATACCGTCAGGGGCGCTACTCGAAAACAAGATTGTGTCCGGCAATTTGCGGATCCTCGACCATTAGTTTTTTAAGGACAATGATGGATAAACCCAGGGGCGGATCGTGAAGTTGTGGGGCCCTAGGCTAAATCTACTTAGGTGTCTATCTAATTAAATTACTCAACTACAAAAATACACTGACCAAAACCTTCCTTTCGTTAGACGCGCACTTGCATGGGTTGATTGATCTCAGGGTTGCCAACCTTATGATAGATTTTTAAAGATTCTAGATATTTTTTATATTTAAAATATCGTTTCAGTGGTGACTGGGGGCCCTATGAATCCTCGGGGCCCTGGGCTGCAGCCCAAAAAGCCCTTAGGTAGATCCGCCCCTGGATAAACCTATCCATTAATAAGTGTAAACTGACGGTTTACACTCGGGGCACCAGTGGAGAATGATAAGATGATAAAGTCAGGGTCTGTTTGCCCATCGTGGGAAATTCCCCAGGAACTGACCATGATGGTTTCCAGAAGACGGTGTGGAAGTGTTAAGAGACCTTTCACCCATAAAAAAAATTGGAATTGACCACATCATGATCTATTGTTTCCAAAAGACAGTGTGGAGGTCTCGTATGGTACATTGCTGGCAATAGGGCCTACTAGTCCCTATTACTAATATTCCCTTCTCCAACGAACATTAGAGTTATACCAAAACAGACTTTGTTTATATGTATATAAGGTAGATAATTAGAAAAGACAGTTCAAATATCACAGCTATTTAGGTAAGTTATGAATATGTGGCACAAATGGTTTCAGAAAGATTCATCACTTCAGTGTTAATTCATCACTTTGTTGTAATACTAGTGGTAGACGCGAGTTTGTCTGTTTATTCGCGTGTACATTTGTGAACACAATGTATAATATATATATGATACGATAAAACGCATTTATACAACGCCATCTATAATTTTAATAATAAACTAAGTAATAAAATTGCTATATTTACTTTTTTTTTAAATATACACATACAAATGTATTTTTAGAACTGTAAAAGAAATATCTAAATATGTAGATATATATTATGTGAATATAGATAGATAGTGTTGTATACGTACTTACATACAATTATATATTTTATATATTAAAATTGTAATTACGCAATTTAATTAATATGTGTACAATTTTTTTATAATAGTTCTTAAGAAAAAGTGATAATATGTATCACCAAAAATTTTTTATATTACGGTTTTGGCAGATGTTCGTTTTTGAGTATGTAATGTAGCTGTTAAATGAAGATTAATACTTAAATTGTACTCAAAGTATGATAAATTATACTAAATTTGGTTATTAGAATTCCAACAGCTTACAATATATTACACTAAATCATTTCCAGAGAAAGCCTAACAAGTTTACAGAGACTTAGCAAAAAAAAATTAATACAAAATGTTGCAAACAGAATAAAGATCAGAGCTAAATGTAAAAAGTACAAATTAAATATAAATTTCACAATAAATAAAAGTTATAGAACACTTATAAGGATTATGAGAATACGATAATTGTAAGAATAAACTGCAATAAGAATAATTTGTTAAGATATTCTTTTATTCTATTCTAATGTAAGAATAATTTGTTCAGATATTCTTTTATTCAAAATATACTAACGCTATTGGTCGCAGCTGGCCTTTACTGTTTCACCAAACGATAGGGGGCGAGTGCAGATGGCACTCCAAACCTGCGGAAGGACTTATAGAGCGGCTGAGGGTATATATTACAATATATTCAAGGTAGTGCATACGGTATATGGGCATCACACGATGACGTGATATCCGTGATGCTGTTTATGTAGTCGATAGTGATCATTCACCATTATTTATAACCATAGACTACCGTACAGTACCGTGTACAGTCAGCTTATGAATCAAGTACATATAAAATATATAAAGTGATATTATTATTATTATTATTTCATTTATTTCGGATATTTATCAGTTAGTAAACATAAACTATGTTAGTAATTTACAATTTTATATATTTAATTCATATATTTATGTCTCTGTCCAATCAGCGATATCCAGTACATATAAAATATATAATGCAGTGATATATTGTCTTAACAAATTTATTTAGCTGTGATCCCACATATTGGGAAATTTTACAACGCCTTCGATTTTGTTATAAAACCTGTGAATTCTGTTATATATTGTCCAAAGATGTTTTGTTACTATGGTTTATATTTATTTTGTAGATTTAATAAAATATTTTTTTAAAATTTTTGCTATTTTTAATTTTTCTACCCTATAAAATTATCACAAACCCAATCAAACTAAATAAAGGTTTAACAAACATGCTAAAAAGAAATTTAGTAGAGTTTCTTGATAGTTTTTATCTATTAAAACTGTATACTGCATGGTAGGGAATAAATATATTAGTCCAAAAAACTTGGCTCTCATAATTTTCATTTCATGTTAGACACCTATATAAGTAAACATCTATACATATAAATAAAATTGGAGTGTCTGTTTGTAATATTGAAATAACCGTTTTTTACTACATGCATATGAATATAAATACGGTACATACCTCAAAATAACATTTTTTACTATTTTTGTCTGTCTGTCTGTTTGTTCCGGCTAATCTCTGAAATGGCTGGACCGATTTTGACAAGACTTTGGCAGGTAGCTGCTGTAATAAGCAGTAACTTAGGTTAGTTAATTTTAGAAAAATAACGTTAAATTCCACGGGAAGGAAGTCGCGGGTACAGCTAGTTGTAAATAAACTGGCTTTTTTAAAAGAAAGTAATTCAATTGAGTGTCTTGTCAGTTCTTTTCAATTGAATCTCTACTGAACTGGACGGTAAGAAATTATATAAAAAAATATATTCATAAGCGGCTAAAATGTTCTACATGAATAAATGTTTTTTGAATTCAAATTTGCTATGTTTTTGTGAATATCTTTCCACATGATAAATAAAAAGGGCTGTGGTTTTTTAGTGGGTAAGAATCCCACACACCCCCTCGTCATCCCTCCGGTGGGAGACTGTGTTTGTGAAGATTTTCCACATGTTAAAAAAAGACTTAAACTATAGGATAACGACTATAAAGGATGGTTAGATGAAATATAACAAAATAATAAATAAATTAATGTTTATTTACAAAATATCACAATGAATCAATTATAGTGTCTAAGTAAAGCTAAAATTTGACCATATTTGAGGTCACTTGTCTGTTCGTATAATCTAAGTTAATATCTTAGATTATGATTTGGCATTGTTTGTAATTGTTAAAGAATTTATTTGGAATATTTTAAGGCTATTTTTATCAAACATTTTTCATCATTAATTACAAAAAAAGTCAAGATTCGTGCTTTTGTTGTTACAAAATTTTAAATAAATTTCTACAATATCCACAGTAATGTTTAGATATATTTAGATGTAATTGTTTAGATCTAACAACACTAGCAGGCTTAAAAGGACTTGCATCGAGCGCTGTAAAATATTAAAAAAATAGTGTTAACGTTGGATTGGAATATTTTAAGGATATTTTTATTATATCGATACATCGTCCATAGACAATTATTTCTTAAGTTATTGAGTTCGCTTTTGTTGTTATAAAATTTTAAAGCAGTTCTACTATATCCACAGTAATGTAAATTGTTTTGACCTGACAACATTAGTAGACTTAAAAGGACTTGCTTCAAGCGCCGTAAAAACTTAAAAAATGTCCGTAGCCGTGACCTATTAAGTGCCTCATTATGAAATAAACTTTTCTCTAGTGTTACTCACTATTACATGCTAGTCGTTAGTAATATTCTTAGCAAATTTACTGGCTATTAAACTAACTACGCCCGAGAGGAATGCCAAGATGGCGCTGGACGCTGGCATCCATTGTATACTGGGGTTGTGAAATAAACAGGCTCCGTCGTTGCTATACGCGCAGGTTAAGTCTGGAAAGAGTAGGTTCAAATCAGGAAATAGAAATATAAATAATCTTTATTCAATTAAACTTTATATACGCACTTTTGAATAGTCGCATTTTTATTCTACCACTCATTCGGAATGCAGACTCGTCACAAGAAGAACGAGAAAAAAATTGCGTAATGCTATTCTGAATAAATGTGTATTTATAATATGACCCGCCTGCGCTAACGGTATACGCTTGTGAGGCACCAGTGGAGGATAATAAGATGACCATGAGGTCAAGTTAACTTACTCATCGTGACAAATTCACCAAAAAATTATCACAATTACCGCCTGGAGGTCAACCTGACAGGTTATATTACTAGCAATAAGATCATCAGTTAACATTACTAACAATACCCTCCCCCCTGAAAAAAAAGTGTATATTGATAGAAACGTTGAGTTTATACACTCACCGCTGATGTGCATGTAGAGAAGTCTGCCAAGCACGTGTGCGGGGAGCGCAGAGATCGCCAGCGAAGCGCCCAGGGCCAACGGCCGAGAGGACACCGCCACCGCCCGCAGTGGCACCATACCCTGCATCAGCACCGCCGCACCTGCACCACACCTCACACATTACTACTGTCGATCAGTCTCCACTTCGCGCGGGCGGGAATATGTGTTTAATAATTCATTACTATATTATACAGGATTATCCGGTACTTGTATGCTAAATCGCAGGCACTGTAACAAATCTGTCGGGATTTATTGCACTGAACCGATATGGCTAAGTCTTGAAATATTCGTGGAAGTCCAGGGAAGATTTAAACGGTGATAAAATATGAACAAATTGCTTGTAAAATAGTAAGAATAGCAATTCTATGTTGCCATACGAACGACTGATACCTGTCTAACGTTCAGAAATTTTATTGCGTAACTAAACTTCAAAAACTTCCGACATATTTAATTTTAAGGCGGAACGGAGTTAGTGCCAGCTAGTATGTTAATAAATAATTGGTTTTTCTACTTACCGGCTATACCCAGGGAGACGGTGAAGATGACTTGGTACACGGAGAATGCAGTCTGGCAGGAGATGATGGAACAGGATCCCATCACAGCGTTTCCAGAGCTACACGAGCAGTTGTGGAACGTTCTGGATAGATATATAGATAGATAATAATTACTGTCTGTATAGCAAATTGAGCTTCTACTGAAACCCACATTTTATATGTTTCCTAGCCGGGGCGAGTAACCGGCCTCGCATGGGTGTACATGTATTATATATATATCTTCCTCCTGAATCACTCTATCTATTAAAAAAACCGCTTCAAAATCCGTTCCGTAGTTTTAAAGATTTAAGCATATATAGGGACAGACAGCGACAGTGACTGTGTTTTAAAAAATATTTTTTAGTTTTACAAAATTAGCTTGGTGTAATGTATAACTCGATATTTGACGATGGTCTGAATAAGAAAAAAAAAATTATGCAGGTAAACAAAAAACAAGTATATACTGTTTTAAGTTTGACGCGGTCATTATTTATAAGTATAATTAGTAAATCACAAAACCTCGACTAGAACTCAATAAAAATAAAACGTGGTAAGATGCCGTGATTTACTAATTATACTTAATTATATATGAACAAGTATGTATGCAAATGCTACTCAGTGCATCTTCTAGCTATTAAATTATATCAGGCGCTTTAGGCTGTTGTTCAGCAATTACAGATATTTCTCATAACGAATTCTAGTACCAGACCAAGCAGACCTTGTGTTGTGGTACTAGACAACTGATGTAAATATTGAAATATATTTATTTTTGTAAACACCTACATAACAATCTAGGTAGCATTAGCCGTGGTCACAAGCTGACTGGAATAACAGCGATGTCAATCTAGATAGGTGACAGCAGTTTTTTCATCTTCCGTCACTAGATTATAACATCGAGACAGGTAAATACCTTTATTTGCCATAAATTTATTCGTGTTAAGTGTCGTGTTAAGACCCGGTTAATAATATAAATAACTAGCTTTAGCTCGCGGCTACGCTCGCGTTAATTTATCCCCTTAGGGGTGGAAATAGCTTTATGCATGCAAAGTCTTACCCCGTTCGGTTTAAAATTGACAAAGTTTCATACAAACTTTCATCCCCTATTTTATCCCCTTGGGGATGGAATTTATCAAAATCCTTTCTTAGAAGATGCCTACGTCATAATATCTACCTGCATGCCAAATTTCAGCCCGATCCGTTCAGTGGTTTGGACTGTGCGTTGATAGGTCACTATGTCAGTCAGTCGCCTTTGAGTTATATATATTTAGATGTATATTGAACACGAAAGTTTAAAAATAAATAATGTAAACTTACATCAATCCGCCGATTTCATCCGTCGTCGTACACCCCGCGTGGCACGGGGAAAAATAAGTGTTCATCCCAGGGACGAGGCACAATGGCGAATAACCATAGGCTTCAGAGTTGCACCTGGAACACGTTGATAGATATTTTGTCGAATTAGTTGTTATAGACCGGAAAACTAGGAACAGGTTAAGGTAACCAATTACGTCCCGGACCAAAACTTCTAAGATCACCCAGAAATATTACAATTAATCCAGTTGCGGGTATCTAAATTTACTAATTCACCTTTAACCCGAGCTGTAAGGGTCATGAACAATATCAGAAATGATATTGATATTATTGATTGTAGTCTGCCGAAAATCACAAAAACCATTAAAAAATATCTTGAATTTTTATAACGTCTAAGTTGTGTAATTATATCTTTATATGTATACTGCACTAAACCGATTTGGACACTTTGTCATGGTGTGAAGGATTAGGTATAAGAATGGCGAAACAAAACTATATATAAAAAATTATTTATTTTTATCTTAGAACTCTAAAGAGTTACAGAACTCTTTAGAGTTCTAAGATAAAAATAAATAATTTTTTTACACATGTTCTTGTAATATTGAAATTAATAAATAAATACTAAAAACAAAAGATGGTTATGATAGTTGTGTTAAAAAGTGTAGTGAAAATCAGCTGAAAGTCAGTGAAATTCACTTAAATATTTACAGTGTGCCATAAGAACATACAAGACCATTTCATATTAAAAAAAAAAGTTTTACAACAAATACTAAATAAAACATATTATCGTTCAAAACAAAACCTGGAATAATTTTTTTGATATATACGATATGCATGCTTACCCGCAGTGTTCACTGCAATTTGGTTGTGTGTATTCGCTATTTGAAACCCCATTTATACCCTGTGGCTCACAGTCGAGGAGTGTCAACACCACAAAGAAGATGGCCGCAAAGAAAGCTACGATCCCTCCCACCCGCGCCGCAGTATTGGCTTTCACACCATCTTGACGTCGGACCGAAAAACGGACGCGAAATATCTGTAAATTAGATAAATAATGTTAGATATATCAACTCTATGTACTAGTAAAAGTATGTATTATAATAAAATAACAACTATATAACATTAATTTAAGTATGTCTCTAACACAATTCACTTTAGCAATTAAAATACAACCAGCACATCCTGTGCTCAAAGACCGAATGCCGCGACCTTTTTTTTTTCGAACTACTCTAATGCTGTTGGCCGTAGCTGGCCTTTACAGCTGCACCGGACGTTATGGGGCGAGTGCAGATGGCACTCTAAACCCGCGGAAGGACTTATGGAGCGGCTTAAGGCCAACTCCTGCCCGACGGATACGACTTTAGTCTGAGGGCACCACTAGGGGTTCGAACCTCGGCTCAGGCCGTCGTAATTTCGATCCCCGTTTGAATTGGACGGGGGATCGATCGGAGGGGCGCCCGGGGCGCCGGTGTGGAGCGCTCGGGCGCGCGCAGGCGCCCGGTTGAATGCGCGATATTGTGTTTGAGGTCGTCGTCTTCGCCGGCGAGGACGGTGTCGTGTGTGTGTGTAAAAGTGTGGTCGGGGTGGAACGGGTGGACCCGTGGGGAGGTTACCTACAAAAACCCTCCCTTTTATACAGAGAAGATATGAGTGGGGGTTATATGCAACTAATTTAACGATACCGAGTAATAATGAAACTACCTTCTTTTAATATAAAATATCAGATTTTTCAACAATATCGATGTGAACCCTAACAATAAGAAATTAGAGGGTACATTAGAGAGTCGCGCCTGATAATAGCCCAAAACCAATGGCGTAGTTAAGTAACCAAGGGCCCTGGGGCCAATCAAAAAATGACCATAGAACATAGACCAGACAGATATAGCTCTATAGCATTATATGTCTGTGGAAACAAAAAATAGACCAGACGGAGACAACTTCATACAAAGTATACCAATATTATTCTATCCGTAACAGTATGCGTACCATAATGAAGAAGATGACAACCAGTGGTCTGAAGAGACTGCCGACGAGTCTGGACGAACGTGGGTCTGGTCTGAGGGTCTCCATTTCAAATCTACCCTGTAATTAGTAAAAAATATTGTTTTTAAATGTCAATATAGATCCTTAGTATTACCCGTTTAAAAAAAATAGAATAGACTCTTTTTAATAGATGTTTTTTTATATAAATAATTACAGTATAACAAGTAAGAGGCATGAGATAATCCAAACATAGAAATCGCTACGCACTCATTATTAGTGTAATCAGATAATATTGTCAGTGCTATGGATTTAAAGTTTTTCTATAAAAACATTATTACTGTTATGTTATCTTATCTATGGTATTACTTACTTGTATGTAAGATGCATCAAATCGTACAAATTCAAATAATGCGAGATTGAGCAGAGAAAACGACACGATGTTTGTAACAATTGTTTTATTGCGAAATATATCACGTAGTGACGCGAAAAATCCTGAAAAAAAAAAGAATTTAATATCACCACAGATAACATAATATTCACTAAGCTAAATGTAACCTGTTTTATATGACAAATAAATAAATCTGAAATATTAATTGTGTTACACCCAGAGGTCCAAGCAGATAACTTTATACAGACTCTGCCGTTTGAAATTTACTTTTAATTCAATTAGTGTAGTTTCTGAAAGTTACGTCTCTTTAATGTTAACTTATAAAATTGTAACGAGTTGCAATGAAGCTTGCTTCTTATTAATTTCTAAGCAATTATAAATGTGAAAGTTTGTGAGTATAAACCTGAACTGAGTGGATTTTCATGATCTTTATAGTAATAATCAGAATAACTCGTCATTATCATCATCTCAGCCCGGAAGACGTCCACTGGTGAACAATGGCCTCCCCCACAGATTTCCACGACGATCGTACCCGCGTTGCTCGCATCCAATGCCTTCCAGCGATCTTGACCAGATCGTCAGTCCACCTTATCTCATCAGAATAACTATGTGTTATAATTTATTTATCGTTTATTGCATTATTTAAAATAAATGTACAATAGGCGAGCTTAATTTTTTTTTCGGATTACTCTAATGCTGTTGGCCGCAGCTGACCTTTACAGCTTCACCGGACGTTAGGGGGCGAGTGCAGATGGCACTCCAAACCCGCGGAAGGACTTATGGAGCGGCTGAAGGCCAACTCCTGCCTGACAGATACGACTTTAGTCTGAGGGCACCAATAGGGGTTCGAACCTCGGCTCAGGCCGTCGTAATATCGATACCCGTTTGAATTGGACGGGGGATCGATAGGAGGGCGCCCGGGGGCGCCGGTGTGGAGCGCCCGGGCGCGTGCAGGCGCCCGGTTGAATGCGCGATATTGTGTGTTTGAGGTCGTCGTCTTCGCCGGCGAGGACGGTGTCGTGTGTGTGTATAAAAGTATAGTCGGGGTGGGCGAGCTTAATGCCGTATATTATTCTCTACCAGCTAAGCAGAGGGTAAAAGCAGAAAACGGTTGAATGGTAGTAATGGGAAATGGCATACTTTTGATATTTTCCTATTTAATATTATGTAAATTTTACGAAATATACTGGTAAATAATTATGATATATACGAAGTTGCGTGGGTCAGCCAGTAAATAATATTGTCTCACCATTCTCCACTTCGTCTTTAGGCGGTTCATAACCCTGCATTCTCTTCGGAAACAGAATAAACAAAAAGGCAAACATGAGCGTTAGCATGCCCAATGAGATGTGTGTGACCCACCAGTCCTCTCCCGTTGAGCTGGGGATGAGCCAGTTCTCGCCGGACAGCCCCAGGGACAGCCGGATCGATATTAGGATACCTGGAAGTAAATAATTTCATTTACCTACAACTCTTTAAAAAAATACAAAACAATCTAAAATATATATAACTCAAAGGTGACTGACATAGTGGTCTATCAACGCACAGCCCAAACCACTGGACGGATCGGGCTGAAATTTGGCATCCGCTAAGAAAGGATTTTGATTAATTCTACTCCCAAAGTGATAAAATTGGGGTAGAAAGTTTGTATGAAACTTTGTCAATTTTAAACCGATCGGGCTGAGACTGCATGCATAAAGCTACTGTGACGTAGGAATCCCCTAAGAAAGGATTTTGGTAAATTTCACCCCTAAGGGGATAAATTAACGCGAGCGAAGCCGCGGGCAAAAGTATGTATATAGGTACAAAAGGCAGTCTTATCGCTTAAGCGTATATATACATATTGATTATTATAGAAGATTTTGTAAAAGAAATTATTACTTAAAATTCGTAGAGCTGACAATATAATTATCCTTGTATACGTGTATTTATTTAGAACAATATTTATTTAAATAGCAACACTCGACTTTCTTTCTCATTCTTCTGAGATGAACCTGCGTCTCAAATATATGGTAATAAACTTAATAATTAGTGGGTGCAAATAAACTTAACATTACTTTTGAATAGTCATTTTATTTTGATCCTAATAAAATAGTTGTAGTTCGTACTACATCAAATCAAATCAAAATGATATATATTATGAAATATAAAATGATATATATTGTATAGAAGGCAACGTCCCGTACAAAATTGTGAGTAGTTATAATTCATTTTTAAAATTACAATTTAAAAAAATATGTACAAAATAATTACGTCTGTAACTATTCCACAATAATTCCATAATCATCATTACATAGTATAAAACAAAGTCGCTGTCGCTGTCTGTCCGTCCCTATGTATGCTTAAATTTTGAAGCTGTTTTTTTAAATAGATAGAGTAATTCAAGAGAAAGGTTTATATATATATGATACATGTACACCCGTTCGAAGCCGGGGCGAGTAGTTAGTAAATTCTAAAAAATGGTACCACTTACCATAAAAGTATGGTCCACTATGTGGTTCATGGTCATCCAGATACGTTAAACCGAGTGACCAGATCGCCAGCTTGGTCAGGGAGCACAGTACAGCCGTGATAATGAGCATCACAGTCCGGGGTACGATATTGGGGTCTGATGTGGTCACTTCCCTGGGTACAATGTCCCCACCGCAAAGTTCTGTAAAAAAAAATTATTCAGATAATTATACTATTATTATATCCTTGTATATATTAATTCCTTATTTTTATTTCATTTCGACATAGACACCTATATGAATTTACATTTTAAACAAATTGGCTTTAAAAAAAAAGTAATTCAATTGAGCTTCTTGCCAGTTCTTCTCAATTGGATCGATATACTGAAGTGGACGGTAGGGTAAAATTATAATATAGAAAATTTGACGTTCATAAGCGGCTTCAAATGTCGTACATGAATAAATTATTGTTGAATTTGAATTTTATTTTGTTATACTTATGCCCACGGCTGTGTTTTACCATTGCATCCCTCGCCATCGACAGAGAATTCATCCCACTCTGGAACCTAAGTGGTCTCGGACAGTGCGGTTTCAGAGGAGCTTCCTCCCGCGTTCATTTAGGTTATGGAATGAACTACCTGCCGAGGGTTTCTCGAGAAAGACTACAGCATAGGGTTTTTCAGGAAGGGTATATTAAGGTTACTTATGGGTCGGTGACACCAATAAGGCGTATGTGGCATCCTGAGTATTTCAGGATACGGTAACCATTTACCATCAGATGGACCGTATGCTTATTTGCCACCATCGTGGTATATAAAAAAATATGGACCTCTAAATGAGTAAAGATTTCAAAAACCATTGGAGCAAATTAAGGAAGGGCCTCAATTTGCGCCAACGGTTTCTGAAATTTGCTTCTGCTATCCAGTCCACACAAGCAATTTCACGAATCTAGTTTAACCACTTCTCCTTGTATCTTCCTCTGAGAAGAAACAGAAGGCAGCATGCACTTGGAACTTGTAGAAGGACTTATTTAGCGGCTGAAGGCCAACTACTGTCTGACTGATACGTTTTTAGTCTAGGTAAGTAATATTATCTTTTCTGGGGTCTGGTCCCAACCCAACTTCAATTCAAGATGTGAGCATTTCGATCCCTATTACCACAGATAACATAATATTACATACTATTACCATGGGTCGCTCTCGTCACTATGTTGGAACTCTCTTTCGTCTATATACATGATCAGTACCACAGATATAATAAAATAAAGAAGAATAAAGAATAGATTTAAAAATTGATTTTCAATATCGAATCTTAAATCGAGAAAATTAGAAACTTAGTTAATAGATATCTCACCAACGTTTACAATGTGTTCTTTTGCAAATGGGAAGGCCAATACCAGTAAACCTGATGCTGCAGTGATAGCAATCCAAAAGGCTAAAGCAAAATGTCTCTTCTTCCGTCCGAACCACGAGAGGAGAGCGCCAAAGAGGACATCGGCACTTGTAGCACCAATAAACACCCAATCTATAAGAAAAACAACAGATTTCTAAACTAATAGAATAGAAAGTTCAGAAATAATAGGAAAAAAAATTACTTAATTGTGTTACTTAGTTTTTAAAAACTAGCTGACCCACGCTACTTCGTCTGCGTTTCATTTCCACACCTTTTGCAATATTTTTCATTGCCTATTGGTCATAGCGTAATGTTATATATGTTATATTTGACGACCTCGGTGGTATAGCGGTTTAGCACACCGCTTTACATCCGGTGGTCGCGGGTTCGATTCTTCGCACGGCACAAACATTTGTATTCATGAATATGATTGTTTGTATCGGTCTGGGTGTTTTCTATGTATAATATGTATGTATTTACGAAAAAATTATCTATGTATTTATATCAGTTCTCTAGTACCCATAACACAGGCTTCAGCTAGCTTAACTTGGGTCTAGATAGCGCTGTGTGAATTGTCCTGAGATTATTATTACTATTATATTATATAGCTTAAAGCCTTCCTCAACTAATGGACTATCCAATACAAAAAGAATATTTCCATTCGAATCAGTAGTTCCTGCGATTAGCGCGTTCAAACAAATTAACAAACAAACAAACTCTTCAGCTTTATAATATTAGCACAGATAATATAATATATTAGTGAAAATAAATAATTTACTATTATAAGAAAACATATGAATACAAAAAACGTTCATAAACTGCTAAAATGTCCTAAATGAATAATTTTTTACTTGTTTCGATTTGAGTTTGGCTGTTGCTCTTTTAAATAAATGTACAACTTTATGCACTTCTGATATAACTTATCTTCCAGTAAAATCTAATTAGTTGCTCAGATTATCAGTGCTTGTATCAGAGCTTGTATGAAATGCAGAAGTTCAAAAGAAACCATGACGTCATACATTTTAAGTTAAGTGTACCCTGACGTAACAACAATGTACTTACTGTGATAATCAATTAACAACAGTATCTAATCACTCATTCATTGATAATGTTTAATCATCAGATTATCATGACACCAGCTGAGAGTGATAGGTTGTGAATTTCAATTGTATAATTGTTTATGTTATGTTATGCTTTGCATTATGATAAAATGATAATCTGGATTACGTTATATCCAAGCTGCTTATGTATTCTACAATTGAGTAAACAAAATTGTTTTACGCACTTATTAATATTTAAAATCATACTTCTATTATATCATGATCATCATCATCAGCTGCTTCTTCTTTATTCCATTCATTTGTGGTCGGAGTAATATGTTACTCTCTTCCATTCATCTCTGTTCGCAGTCATCTCGTTATTTACTCCCTTTACCATATTATCTTTTATACAGTCCATCCATCTCTCTTTCGTCCTTTCTCTGCCATTATTACCATCTACATTAATAAGTAACACCTTCCTTGACCATTATATAATATTACAAATCTTATATATAAAATTCTCGTGTCACAGTTTTCGTTCCCATACTCCTCCGAAACGGCTTGACCGATTCTCATGAAATTATGTGAGGGTATTGAGTAGGTCTGAGAATCGGCCAATATCTATTTTTCATCCCCCTAAATGTTAGGGGTAGTCCAACCCTAATTTTTTTTTATTTTAAGGCAAAACAACGTTTGCCTGGACAGCTAGTATATATATGGATATCTTAAGGCTGTATGTCTGCACCCTACTCATATCCATACAACAAGAACAACACGCAGCAAAATGAGTAACACGCAAGTTACTTTTTTGTTCTTCATGTCTTCTTAAGTCTTCTTGAGTCTTCTAAATGAGTGGTAGAATACAAAAAATATGACTATTAGAAAGTGATTATATTAAGTTTACTTTGTACCTACCTCTCAGATGTTGCCATTTCCGAAAACTAATGTATCATATCTCCATCGTTGCAATTTAACTTCCACATTACACGCTTCATACCAAAACATAGAAATCAAACTCATTTTTAAGCAGAAAAGAAATGAGACTGGCAACCACGTAGACGATTTTATATATGGCATTGATGAGGGTGAATAAAAAGAAATAGATTTTTATTCAAATAAACTAACTATAAACACTTTTGAATGGTCATATTTTTTAATTCTACCCCTCATTCTGAACGCGGACTCATCACACGAAGAATGAATATAAAACTTGTGCGTTGCTCCTTAAATAATTGTTTTTCAAAAATTATTTATTAAGAATTTTGTGTGAATAAAAATACCAAATAGCAAAGTTACCATAAATAAATAAATCGTTACTTGAGTAACAAAATAAATGAATCACAGTTAACAGAGCAGACCAGTCCCTACAAGCAGCACCCGTTCACGAGTATAATGGGTGATCACTGCGTGTAACTCAACCATATTTTAGGGACCCCAATGACCCGTCCCACCATGCCACCTGTTTGGACATGTAGGACTGAGACTTACCGCGAATCAACAAAGGATGGTAGCCTGTCTCTGCATCTCTTTTCAGCAACAGGTATACGTTGTGTTCCAGGAGTATAACGATGAGTAGAGTTCCCTGCAGGAACAGGTCGAATCTTGGTATTGTGAGAATGTAGGTGCGGAGGAAGTACCACAACTTGTGGAATACTGTAAACGAAACAATAAAAAAAATCTAACACAAAAAAAAAACTAAAACTAAAAGTATACAATTCAAATAAAAGAAATAAACATTAAAAATGTTTCCCTTTCCTTTTTTCGGACTACTCTATTGATATTGGTCGCAGTTGGCCTTTACAGCTTCACCGAACGATAGGCGGCGAGTGCAGATGGCACTCCAAACCAAAGGAAGGACTTACGGAGCGGCGGAAGGCCAACTCCCGCCTGACGGATACGACTTTTGTCTGAGGGCACCGCTAGGATCGAACTTCGGCTCAGGCCGTCGTAATATCGATCCCCGTTTGTATTGGAGTGATTGGAGGGATGTTTGTACCGTGCGAATAATCGAACCCGCGACCATCGGAAGTTAACGTGCTAAACCACTAGTTCACCGACGTAAATAACATGAAAACAAAATAGATTATCATAACATTCTATTCTACCTGTTCAATGTCTATTTTTGTTAATATAATTTATGATAATAAAATTATTAGATATTTATTAATCAATCAACGATTATGTAATCCCTCATGATAATGTTTCAATGAACGCAGATTTTGCTATCTTATAAGGAATGTCAATGTAAATTTGTAGGTAACCTTTGATAAATTTGTTCATTGGTGGTTATAAACTGTTTTTTATAAATTTAAAACTGAATAAAATAAAATAAACTTTATTATTTCCATAATAACACATATAATAACAAGAAATACATGCATTTTATTAACTATGGTCTGGTTTTTGTTTTCTTTTGGCTTTACTTCCGCTGTGTACTGGTTCGATATCTCACATCACTTTTTTTTTTTTATAAGTGTAATAGAAAAAAAAATAATCCTAAAATAATAAGAAATAAATGCATTTCATTAATTATGGTCTTTAGTTTTTTGCTTTCTTTTGGCTTTACTTCCGCTGGTTATAGGTTCGATACCTCGTACGGTGCAAACATTTGTATTTATCAGATTGTTTGTATCGGTCTGGATGTTTACTGTGTATAATATGTGTACATTTACAAAAGAATACATATATTTGAATCGTTATCTATGGTATAGTACCCATAACACAAGCTCTGCATAGCTTGGGACTAAGAGGCGCAAAGTGGATTGTCCAGGGTTATTATTGTTATAACATATTTAATTCAATACCACTAGCTGATATCGTAAATTTTTATATATTAAAGAATTGTATAAACCAATTTAATAAGTTTTTTTTCGGACTAACTAAAGCTGTTGACCTTTACTGTTTCACTGGACGATAGATTCCAAACCAAAGGTACTTATGGAGCGGCTGAAGGCCAATTCCGATGGATACGACTTAGTCTGAGGGCACTGGTAGGGGTTCGAACCTGGGCTCAGATCATCGTATTTTCGATCCCCGTTTGAATTGGACGGGGGATCGATCGGAAGAGAATTTAATTAGTATTTTTATCTGTTACAAATAAATGTGTTTTTTTTCATAATATTAGTGTAGATAATTTGTACATAATTTATATAACTCTAAGGACTAATAATGATAAAAGATCGTAATTAATGATTTAATTATTCTTTTATAAAACTTTAAGGTCTACTAAGCATAAAAGTTATCATTGATGTAACAGAGAATTGAAGCCGAAAGTTTTATAAAAAAAAAACTATCTCTCACTTTTGATATATAAGATCTGATGGTGTACTTACTGGTCCCTTCTTTGAACATTTTGCACGTTTTTTATTATTCAAACATTTATTTTAGAAATATAATATCTAATTATTTTTTTAAATTAAATTCCATCTACTTATTATAAATTATCACAGAACATTAAAAAGAATGAACATGTCACACATAAATTCAATAATACGTGCGCAATAATGGAATAAAAATAAATTACTATAGATTTGTCCAAATCGCGATTGTGTTATCTGCGTTACACTGCTCACCTATCTATTGATTAATTAATGTGTTTGGCCAATGTTAAGGTTTTCTCTTACCTGATTTTTTTGTTAAGGGTGCCACAACCTAGTAGTTAGTTCGATTCTGGAGTTGCACTCTAGGAACGAACCGATCTATACATTGCCTACTTGCAACTTTAACCTTAGGATCTAGTGATCAACTGATTTCTAGATTCTGCTCAGGAAACTTAGTTTTTAAGAATGACCACACCTGAGCTTGTTTGTCTAATAATAGGGTTTTCTTTATCCCCATTATTTTGTTAAAGCCACAATCTAGTAGTTAGTTCGTTTCTGGAGTAAGCACACTAGGAACGAAACGATCGAAAGAATTGAATCTACCTTTTTGGGCCTCCTCAGAACCTAACCGATCTATAGATTGCCTACTTGGGTATGGCACACTAGTGCTTAGAACCTATAGTGATCAACAGAATTCTAGATAGTTTGTTTAGGAATGTCATCTTGGTTCTCAAGAACAGCCACGTCTGAGGGGAGCCAAAGCTACGAGAAATTAAGCCAGGTAGGTTGTTCTCTGTCCTGACTTTTTATGTTCAGGGTGTCGCAATCTAGTGATCAGTTCGTTCCTAAAGTAGTCACTCTAAGAACGAACTGATCTAAACATTGCCTATTTAGTCTTGGCACCTTAGTGCTTAGAACCTAGTGATCAACAGATTTCTAGATTGTTTGTTTAGGAATGTCATCTTAGTTCTCAAGAATTGCAGCGCTTGAGAAAAGCCACGTCTGTAAGAAATTAGGTTTTCTTTACCCTGATTTCTTTTTGTTAAGAGGGTCGCAATGTAATAAGTTAGTTCTTAGATTAAACACTCTAGGAACGAACCGATCTATACATTGCCTACTTGGGCACGGCATCTTAGACATTAGGACATAGTGTCAATTGATTTCTAGATTATCTGTTCAGGAATTACACCTTAGTTCTCAAGAATGGCCAAACCTGAGCGAAGCTTCGTCTGTTTGATTTCTCAATTTTTTATATTATAGCTTATTTGTCTAATGTTAACTTTATACTGAATTATTTTGTTAGAGTTGTTACAATCTAGAAATCAGTTCGTTGCTAGAATAAGCATTTTAGGAAAACAAAAAAAAATTGCCAAACTCGAAGTTTATTATTTATAAAATGAAAGACTGCTAATTATAATGATATAAGACCTTCAATAAACTTGGAATGTTGGAATTGGAACTTGGAACCATTGAGACTATTCTAGTTACAAAATAATAACAGATTTTTTTAAACACCAATTTAAAAACATATACCTATTTTAAGATAAAATAAGATTCCCAAATCACTTTATAAATAACGGAGTTCTCAGTTTCTAAGACACCAATCTGAAAAAGTATCTTTAAAAAAAATTCCAAATCATTTCATAAATGAAGTTCTGAGTAAAAAATTATCACAGCGTCTTTGAAAACATTTATCATATAATAAAGGAAGGAATGTCGAAGGATAAATCAGGTAATATTAAAAAAGCAAATAATGATTTAAATTATTTATTAATATTCACTGGTTGTGTAAAAATAGATTTAATATTTTATGTAAAAATTGCATTCTTAACAATAGCAACACTAGATTACACACTGTGTAAATAAAAATGTATAAAAACAACATTAATAAATGTAAAAAATAAATTGTACAAAATGTTTTATCTATATCCAAAAGTAATTTTTATAACTGGTATGGCAAACGACCGAATGGCAACAACTGATAGAAAGTATAGATTACAAAATATATTGTTAAACCCGCATATATTTTTTTATTGAGATTTCAACCTGTAGCATTGTAGACCTAGACCCGTCAGGAACAAGAATTGAAGGATATTCTTAGCATACATGCATCGTGTTGCCATTTGAGTCGAATAAAGCAAAAGAAAACAACTTTAGACAGTTTGCAGATGAGTGAGAATACATTTTCCCGCGCAAATGCACAGATTATTATAATAGATTTTTTTCTTTTTGGTAGTAAACAAAATAGAAAACACTATTGTCAAAAAGGAAAAAAATTTGCTACCTACCATCGTAATATTCTGTCTTAAAAAATAGATTTTATTTATTAAGACTGGATATTGCGCTGACTGTCAAGTTACAGTAAATAGTAGAAAAAGTATAAGCTACTGTAGAAAATACACTACTAGTAATTTTACCTACGGTAGTAATTACTTATTTGTTTTTGACAGCGTCAAATATTTTTTTTTATTTAAATACAAAATATAATTAATTTAATTATAATTATATTGTCATGATATTCATAAAACATACAATTAAAATTAATTGAAACTTATAAACTGGTATATATTGTGTAAAGCTTAAATTACTGTGAAATATTGCCTAATTTATTGCACTTAGGTACCTTATATTTTGTTTGCACTTAGAAAATAAATAAATATTAATTAAATAACTACGATTATTTTATTAATGTGAGCAATTATTAAGTACTTTATAAAAAAATTGCTGTGCTCCCGCTCAAATATGAATAATTACTAATTAAAAACAGTTTTTGCATCGCATTTTTCACTGATGCTTCGCTTCTATTGGTCGTAGCATAATGTTATATAGCTTAAATCCTTCCTCGACAAATGAACTACCCAACACAAATAATTTTTCAAGGGGGAACCAATAGTTCCTGAGTTTAGCGCAACCCAAACTCTTCAACTCTATAATATTAGTACAGATTTGTAAAGCATTTTACAGTAGTTCCATTACATTGGTTAATAGGGACATAAGATTTTAAGAGTTTGTGACAATGAATGTAAGAACTACCAAACGTGTAGAGTGATAAAAATATTAAATAAATTATGTGGTTGGTTTTAAAACATTCGTGTTTAATACAAGTCACGTAGAACACTTAGCGCAATGACTTTCGTAGGTACACCGTGTGGTTTTTTTCCAGTAAAAAACACACCTCGTCACCCCTCCGGCGGGGGACGATTTTTTGATGATTTTTTCACACGATAAAAAAAAAGTTGCCAATGTCTGATACGACATTATATTATAATATTTACATCGTATACAGAATTTAATTAATTTAATTTTTTAAGCAGTCTAAATCATATTATCACTTGTATCTACGAGGTCCCTACTAGCTTCTCAGTCAGCCATGGGATGAAGTGCGTGACCCTGGAGTACACTCCTGGGAAACCAGCTTCTGCGCACTTCTTTCCATACGACACTACGCCTATCTGGTAGAAGTATGTCGTGTAGTCCGTTGGATCCCACTTGAAAAGAAAAAAATACAAATTAAAAAAAAACTCAATAGACAAATCACAGAGTGAGTCTAAAAAATGTGTCTAATATGTCTATGAACAGCCAGTGTGTTTGTTACATTTTTTACTATGACAATATACATATTACATACATTACTTGTTTATAAATTTAAGTAAGTACATAAAAATATAATTGTATGCAGAATATTTTGATATTCACGAATTTGCTTTGTTTGGTAGTTTGTATCCACACATTATCGTGTTTTCTATAAACTTTCTATTTCTATATTTTCTATTCTAATAGGATAAAAAAAAACAAAAATATATAAAAAAAACAGTTACATTTAAGTTTATTTGAATTTGGAATGTTCTACTCACAATTGGCTGCATAAGTGGACCGCCGCTGTCACCTTGACAGGCGTCTTTCCCGCCATTTTTGAAGCCGGCACAGAGTACTCTATCGTCGATCTTCTGCGCCTTGTATTGGGAGTAGGCTTGTGCACAGAACTCTGTACTGACTACAGGCAATTGTAGAGCTTGTAGATGAGTTGCTGATGGTCCTCCTATTATTTAATGAATTGAAATTAGTTTTAAATATGAAACATGTCGATAGGTTTGCACACTGCCACGTACAATATAACAAACTAAATGCTAAATGTTGCGTTCACGATGACAGTTGGCCATGTGAATACACTATCTGAGATAGTAGTTTCTTTTTTAATTAATAATAATGGAATAGTGCCTGAGGCAACGGTACCTATCGCTGGCGTGGCACCATTGGAGGGTAAGATGTGCACGAGGTCAGCCCTAACTGGCTCTTCGTTGTAAAATCATCAGGAACATATCACGTCATATCATGACGGGGAACCAAGATGGTACTGGTGGACGTATCCGATTTTGAAAATACTTTTAGTCTTGGATAGACCATTTATCGGGGAAGGCTATAAATATATAACAAAAACAAGGGAACTGCGACACTGCCGAGGCTGCGCGAGTCAGCTAATCTATAATCTATATAAATTATTAATATTTACAAAACTACAGTAATGACTATTCATAGATAAATCTACTTTATATAATTTTAACCTGAAAATCAATTACTTTTTAGCAATTGGTTAGAAGACATAAACACATACATTTTTACGAAAATTTTGCAAGTTTTATCGTTTATATAGGGAAGATGAACAGTACTATTTTTTTCTATGCTATAATATGTAAAGTATGCTATATCTATAATATGTAAAGCTGCATCTAAATATATATAACTCAAAGGTGACTGACGTAGTGATCTATCAACGCACAGCCCAAACCACTGGACGGATCGTGATGAAATTTGGCATGCAGGTAGATGTTATGACGTAGGCATCCGCTAAGAAAGGATTTTGATTAATTCTACCCCCAAAGGGATGAAAGTTTATATGAAACTGTCAATTTTAAACCGATCGGGCTGAGACTTTGCACGCATAAAGCTACTATGACGTAGGCATCCCCTAAGAAAGGATTTTGGTAAATTCCACCCCTATGGGGATAAATTAACGCGAGCGAAGCCGCGGGCAAAAGCTAGTTCAATACAAATGAATAAGAAAAGAACATTACACACACTACCATGTACTTGACACATGCATAGTCTTTGACAATAGAACCTTAATAATGTTCAAATTTATAATTTAAATTCCACGACCTCGGTGATCAGCGATATAGCACACCGCTTTACGTCCGATGGTCGCAGGTTCGATTCCTCGCACGGCACAAACATTTGTATAATGAGTATGATTGTTTGTATCTGTCTGGGTGTTTTCTATGTATAGTATGTATGTTTTTACGAAAAATATTATCTATGTATTTGTATCAGTTATCTAGTACCCATAGCACAAGCTTTAGCTAGCTTAACTTGGGTCTAGATGGCGCTGTGTGAATTGTTTTAAGATTATTATTATTATGGTGAAACTTGATCATTTGGCGATCACTAGTACGAATAAGACAACGAAATAGACAGAATAGAATATAAAAGATACTTACGGAATTCAGTCGCTCCCCACCCCGTGATTATAGGGTTGTAGTTCTCGAAGTTTCTCGCTCTCAGTTCATCGGTGGCTGGTAAGCAGATCGGTCTGATCAACGCTAGAGAGATACAAAAGAAATAAACATAAATATAAACAACTTGTTCTGATGAGAGTGGATGCCGGACTGGCGAATGGTTCGATTGGTGTCGCGAAGACGGTAGTGCTTAGTCAGCATCAGATATAGGGTTCAACGGGAGCAAGCAATAACCCTAACATACGTGGGGTATAATAGTAGCAGAATTGACGATGATCCCGATCTTTGGCAGTATCGAACCACTTGTTTGAGTCTGGCTTCACTTCGCTTTGTGTGTTCTACCTAATATATATGCTGCGTCTCAGAACGAAGAAGACATGATGCCTACGCTGGCGTCTAAAATCGCACCGCTTGCCAATCGAGGCGGTACTTCATCATCAGACGTTAGTACCTAAATGGTCTCGTACAAAGGAGCTTTTGCTCTCGTACACTTTGATTGTGCAAGAACTACTTGCCCAGGTTTTCTTTTTGAAACTCAGCAGGATTTTTGAAGAAGTGCTTATCTAAACGGTATCGAACCACTTAAGGGCGATGCAATGCTTTGTGTGTTTGATATGATATACAAACCTTCAAGAAACATGATGCCTATTCCTTTTTAAATCGGCCGACAACGTACTTGCACACTTCCCCTGGTTTGCGGGTGCTTTTCATGGACCTTTTTCCCGGTAATCACTTTGATTGTCAATGAGCCGCATGCTCGTTTGTCCCCTGTGTTATATAAAAAAATAAGTAACGTAATGCGTAACGTCTCAGGCGTCCACAGGCTACGGTAACCATTTACCATCAGATAGGCCGTATGCTTTTTACAAAAGAAACAGTACGTATAAAGGTATTGCTATTAGAAGACAATAATTTTTTACTTCTTTACCTGTAAATTTCACGTCTTTCTCCAACACCAGTATTCCAATGTCGTTTGTGTACGCTTTGGGGCTATATTCTTCGTGTTTGATCGCCTTCTTTATCAGCACATCCGTAGGAGTTGCACCGTCGTCTTCTCTCGCCAGGTCCAGTTCCCCCAAGCGAACCAGGAATCTTTAAACCAATTAGACATACAGGTTACTAATTGTCACTATTAAAGATAGTCCAAATTTATGTGTGGCGAATTTCGCGTGGCAACACCGTTGCTTAGTTACGATGTTGAGAATGAATAACTGGCCTATTATTAGAGACCGAATCGCCTCTTGTAAATATATTATACTTCTTATGTATCTATTTTAAATACTTCGTTAATATAAATATGTAAATAGTCGCAACTGGTGTCTAATCACATCCCGCCTCCTGGTGATGCTGCTATATGATCAACATGTTCACCAGGAGGCTCATCACCAGGGTCCAACATAGCCGCTAGACATCTTTATTCTACATACTATCTAATTAAATCCAAGATAGAGCTATGATCGTCCTTATCATATAATATATCTTTATATTAAAGTAACATTTCAGTAACAATAATAATAAAATTAGGACAACTCACACAGCGCCATCTAGTCTCAATCTAAGAGGGGCTTATGTTATGCGTATTAGCCAATTCAAATCCTTTCTGCCCATAACATTATTTTAGCAAATTGAAAAATAAAACATAAATAATTCCCGAGTTAATGCTAAATCATCGGCAACCTAAATATTTCTAGAGCAGAACCTAGCGACTTCTATAATAATGAAATATGATATAAAAAAAGAAATAAATAAAGATAATAATATGTAACATATAAAAAATATTATAAATCATAATATATTCACGGCTGTAAACCCGGTAAGGAAACTCAGAGGTTCATAATAATAAGATAAGTGATAAGATAATTATTTTTAAAGATATTTATGTTTTTATTTTATTAAAAACATGTTTTTATAACTGAAGATTAATAGAGAAAGGTCTTAACGATTTACGCGAGTTTATATAGATACTGAGTATCTATATCTGTCTATGTATAATATATATGTATTTACGAAAAAATATTCTATGTATTTGTATCAGTTATCAAGTACTTATAACACAAACTTTAGCTAGCTTAACTTGGGTCTAGATGGCGCTATACACATAGCGCCATCTAGACCCAATTATGCTTATTGAATTGTCATTGTATGAATATAATAAAAATATAAGAGATGCGATTTATTTCTATTTTCGTTTATTGACCAATGTAAAATACTTCTGTACATATGCACAGAAGTTTTTTGTTTACAAATGTACAGAATATCATTACTGTATATACCACTTATATACAGTAATGATATTTATGTAATTCCAGTTTATTTTATTATTATTATTTCATTTATTTCGGATATTGATCCATCCATATTATGTTAGTAAACAACTTATTAACTATGTTAGTAATTTACAATTTTATATATTTAATTCATATATTTATGTCTCTGTCCACGTCCAGAGGCCCTGGGTCCGCAGCAATGCAACGATATCCAGTGCCCCTGAAGTGGACAGTCCAACATATTGGATATGGTGTTTAGGAGGCTGTTTGCGCTCCCCCGAATTCTACACATCAGTGATGCAGTTCTATTTCGCATTATGGCTTCAAAACCATCTATCCGCGCTGCTGCAAACATCTCTGATGCGCTACAAAATCGAGGGGGCCCAAACAACATCCTAAACCCATTATTATATTGTTTAATTGCAATTATATCAATAAATAAAATAAAATAAATTAAATACATACGCAATACACGGTATAATATATACTAATTACAATACGTCGTAATAATATAGTATGTTAAAAAATTGTAAATTCGGTATAAGTTACATTTTGGTTTGTATATTCATAAAAAGCACGTTACAAATTTAAATCTTTTAGGGGTTATTGTCTGATTTGAATATCTGTCTGATCTATACATCTATACATATAAATAAAATTGGAGTGTCTGTTTGTAATATTGCAATTACCGTTTTTTACTATATGCATATGAATATGAATATGGTACATACACCAACATAACATTTTTTGTCTGGCTGTCTGTCTGTTTGTTCCGGCTAATCTAAAATGGCTGGACCGATTTTGACGGTTTTTTTTGGCAGGAAGCTGATGTAATAAGGAGTAACTTAGACTACTTTTATTTTAGAAAAATAAAGTTAAATTTCACGCGGACGAAGTCGCAGGAACAGCTAGTGTATAATAATTTCCCTGGACAATTTATGTTCATTTTATATTAAGTTGATTGTAATTCTGAGTAACCTAATAAACACCATTTTAATTCAAACAGTGCCATCTCGGAACTAGAGCTAAGCAGAGCTTGTGTTATTGGTACTAGATATCTGATATAAATATTAAAATACATGTTTTTTAAGTACATACGTAGAAAATACCCAGCTCGATACAAACTATCCTAATTATGAATATAAATGTTTGTAACCCAGCACGATTAACGCAGCGCCATCTAGTTCAAAGCTAAGTAAAGTTTGTGTTTTGGGTATAAGACAACTGACTGATATAAATACATTTTTTTTGTATGTATTTATATTGTTCCATTACTTCGATAGTCTCCGAATAACAGTTATATGTCTTTTAGCAATCTGTTACACTTTTAGTATATAGGTATACATATATATACTAGTTGCTCCGGCAAAGATTGTTTTGACATGTAAATAAATATCGCTATTAAAAAAGTGAGGGTGATCTCAGAAGGCTGGCAATTTATGGATTGTACGCATTTTTATAAAGGAAAATCATAAAAAAATGTTCAATAAATAAAAATATTTTTTGTAGCGGACTACCATTTCAATTAGGGATATGAAAATTTATTTACATCCTATTTTCAGATCTACTGAACGTACCTACAAAGTATCATAAGATTCGATTAAGATTATTACGGAGTATTTTCTCACAAACACTGTGATACGAGAATTTTATATAGGTATTAGATGTACAGATTTTATACAAATGTTGTGTAGATAAATGCAAATGACCTTGGTGTTATATGTCTTAAAACAACCGGTCAAACGAGTGGATCTCAAGTGTAATATTGTTGTAGGAAAACATCATGTAATAATGTCATTAATAGTTATTTATTGCATGCGTTTATTATACCCGCTGTGCTATAAAATAGAAGAGGATTTTATGTTGTTTTGTCACTTCAAATAATAATCCTTACTAATATTATGCGTTTGTAACTCTGCCTGTCTTTTGTCACGATGAGCTAACTGACCTGACCTCATGCTCTTCTTATCATCCTCCACTGGTTCCCCGCCAGCGTAAACCGTTAGCGCAGGCGGGTGCACCATACCATTATCATCCATAAAAAAAAACTCTGCCTGTCTGTCTTTCACGCCAAAACTAGCGAACAGATTTAAATTAAATTTGGTACACAGATAGTCTAGACATAGGCTACTTTTTAATGCGAAAAATGGGTTGTTAGGGGTTGAAAGGGTAGATGGAAGGTTGTATGGAAGTATTGTCATTTTTGAAGATAGAAGGTTCAAACTCCTTTTTAGGCTATTGATTGAATATAAATAAAAACGACATTCAAAGTTTGTAAAAATTTCATGTTAATATCTTATCATGTATGTAAAATCGTCATTTTTGAAGCTAGAACGATGAAACTTTTTTCTTTGGCTTTTTGAGTTGGATTATTGAATATTTTGTCTTTATCCAAATAAAGACTATACACTATAACATGGACGAAGTCGCGAGCACGGCTAGTAAAACTTATTTGTGAAAAACAGAAAATTTCGTTACAGTATTTTGTAATTTCGTGTCATATATATTGGTTTGTCAAAAAAGACTACATGTACAACGTCCCAGTTGAGAGGCTGATTATGGTAAATGGAGGCCAAATTACATTTGGCAAAGAAGTTGATGGACACTCATAACAAACGCTTGGTACACCTCTAGTTATGTATATATAATAACATATCAGCACACTCATGAGGTGCCATTCCAGAGTACTAAAATGTGTATACCCTGTAATTTGTCTGCAAAATCTTACCCTTCAACCACAACAAACGTTGTGTGAGTTCTCCAGGGTTAGGACTAAGATGTGCATACCCTGTAATTTGTCTGCAAAATTTTACCCTTCAAACGAAACAAACATTGTGTTAAATCTCCAGGGATAGGATTAAGATGTGCATACCCTGTAATTTGTCTGCAAAATTTTACCCTACAAACGAAACAAACATTGTGTTAATTCTCCAGAGATAGGATTAAGATGTGCATACCCTGTAATTTGTCTGCAATATCTTGTCTTTCAACCACAATGTGTGAATTACCCAGGTATATTATTATTAGATGGGTCGTAGGTACGCTTCATTACCACTACTGTGATATATAAAGCATAGATATACTTACAAGTCATCTTCGTGTAAATGTATGCAGTGGGCAGCAGTGAGGACATGTTTGGAGGAGATCAGGGTACCCCCGCAGAGCCACCTGGCTCCAGGGCCTCGCTTCGGTTTGTATCCCAAGAGCGCCATCCAGGGGAAGTCGCCTGTTAGAGTTGATATTTAAGTAACATCCAGGATGATACAGGTATACAGAAAAAATGAAAACTTCATTCTAGATTCAACAGGCAAAAACAATTCCGCATTTCAATCATTACACGAAAAAGTATAATATAATAATAATAACAATAATAATAGTATAGCAAAATATTTCACATAGCGCCATCTAGTCCCAAGCTAATCAGAGCTTGTGTTGTGGATACTAGACAACAGATATACCTACATACTTTTTGTAAATACTTGCGTAATATTCATAGAAAACAACCAGACCGATACAAACAAGCATACTCATATACAAATGTTTGTATCGTCCAAGGTATCAAACCCGCAACCATCAGATGTAAGATGGTGTGCTAAACCACTAGACCTCCGAGATCATCATTAATGATTGCTTACCGAGATGAGCGTCGACACCGCCAATCACTCTACTAAAAGATGCATTGCTTATTCCGCAATCTGGAGGCTGTGGTAATGATGAAACGAAGTCATCAGAAGCTGATTTCCCTTCTGATGGCTTGTCGGGCTCTTCTGTGATGGTAGGTGCTTCAGTTATAGGCTGTGGCGGTGGTGATGATGGTGGTAACGGTGGTGCAGTAGGTATGCCCGGTCGTGGACAGCAGACCTGAGAAGTAATGATTGTAAGATTGAATATAATAATGATTGATATAGCCGTCATTTTTGTGAACGGTTATTACTTGATTATGATGGTAAATTGGCTATGATTTTTGTTTCTCTAGGTATAGAAGAAATAGAAATAGAAATAGAAATAATCTTTATTCAAATAAACTCATTACAAGCACTTTTGAATAGTCATATTTTGATTCTACCACTCATTCGGAATGCAGAAGAAGAAGAAAAGATAGTAAAGAAAGTACTACGATTAAAATGAGGCAAGAGAGAAAATTGGAATTATGGAAGGGATACGAGAGTCTACCGAAATCAGCAAATATAGTTTATTTATTTACTTAAATACTATTTAGTTACAAAAATACACATTAACTAGTACAAAAGTGGTTTTACCGCAAAGCAATCTCTTACAGATAACCTTTAAGTTAAAGGTAAAGATAAAATAAATATCTAAACAAATAATATATATATACATAAACAGACAATAGAGAATGTTAGGACATTCGATATGGCTCGATAAATTTATGAAAATCTATTATTAAGAGAACGAGGGGGATGAGAAGACCAAGGTAGAGCTACATCAAGCAAATTAAAGAAAAATTGGAGTCGTGTCGTATTAACACGACTATCACTAAACGATTACTTGAATGACGAGTGTGCATGGCAATAGTTGTTCATGCACTGAATTTTCATTTAATGTTAGACATAGACACCTATATAAAAATACATTGTAAATAAACTGGCTTTAAAAAAAAAAGTAATTCAATTGAGTTTCTTGCCAGTTTTTCTCAATTGGATCTATATACCGAACTGGACGGTAGGGAAAAAATAAAATTCATAAGCGGCTAAAATGTCCTACATGAATAAATGATTTTTGAATTTTGAATTTTGAAAACATTTAAAGAGTATGAAGGGCAATACCAAAGCACAGCTATTGCAAGAAAATTAGTGACAAAATTGGAGTATGACGGAAGGTAGTGGAAAGTGGCAAAAGCTCCACCGACAACAGTGTGGCTCTTAAGATAAGCTGTAAAGATCAGCTGTGGCCAACAGCTTTAGAGTAGTCCGAAAAAAAACCAGACAAATACAAACAATACTCATGTTTGAATAGTCGAAGAGTGGAAATCGCAATCTGAATTGAAGTGGTTTGAGAAATTTCTGGTTGGTTATTTACCTTAGGATTATTTCCTTCAAATCCACAATGCACTCTTCTTAGTAACTGTACAGCTGCAGGACTGGATCCAGCCTCCTGAACAACCTTCAGGTATACATCACATTGGAACAGATTCACACATCCTCCCACCTCGTCATCGATAGTCTGACATGTTTCTTCTGTAAAGAGGAATTTCGATTAGACAAGTTATTTAAAACCAGTAAACGTTATAGTTAACTAGCTTTCCCGCGGAACTTCGTCTGCATCACACTTACTTGACATTTATAATATATATAAATATATAGCTGTGGTTTCATCCGCATGAAATATATAGCCTATGTGTTATTCTGATGTATAAACTATATCACTGTCAAGTTTCATTAAAATCCGTTCAGTACTTTTTGCTTGAAAGAGTAAAAAACATCGATCTATACTCACAAACTTTCACGTTTATTATTTAAATAATATAAGATGTATAATCTTATACTAAAAAGTTATCGAACTTTTTATTACTAGATTATACATTTTCACGCAAAAACTATTGATCGGATTTTGATCGCAAGATCCGATCAATAGTTTTTGCGTGAAAGAGTAACAAACATTCATCCATACTCACATACTTTCGTTTTAGTAGTTAGTCAGTAATGAGTTAGTTACATTCATACATGAATTATTATTAGTCTTTAGATACCAAGTCATACAAATAATTTGGTTACATGTAGCTCAGTATTACAGCCGCCAAACTGTTTGCTTTATAACCTATGGTCCGGTTAAAAGAGGCATGTTATTCGAATCCAAGAATATAATCATCAAAATTGGTTGATAACAAGCGATGATATAATAAAATATATATACGTAACACAGACAATACCTAAAACATTATTATTCAGATACTTGTCTTTTTTTAATCAGATGACAACTACCAAAAAATATCATTGCTTATTACAATTGCAATTAAAAAAAAAATTAGGAAATTAGCTCCATAACCACTGGAAGCAGTGCATGAATGAAACCAGTTATGAAAATGGATGAAGTATGTGAATGTATGTATGTAGAGCAACAACATACTATGTTATAGACATCGGACACAATGCAAAAAACAGGAAATATGACCTAACTTTTATGTTACAAATAGTTACGCTGCAAAGGTAAAGTTATACTTATATGTATATTATATAGGATCCACTTTATTTAAAAAATAATTTTTAGTTGCACTACTTGATATATTATTTTGTTTAATTATACAAAATAATATAAAACCATGAAATAGTGAAATGGACTTCCGCAAATAATATCTAATTCGATTAAGTATAGTTTTTAATTGCTCCTTTTTATTATCCTGAAAAATTTTAGTTTTAAATCAGTCCCGTTTTTTTAATCTATGTTCTTTGAGAGTTCTTCTCTGCTACAAATGTTAATCAATTATGCAACGAGAATCATTAAAGTGATGTCAAAGTTATGACATCACTTTAATGAGAAAAAAAAACCTTTCTTTCTTCTTTAAAAGTGAAATACATAAATATCAGCTCTAATTGTTTGTAATTGCTGAGAAAAATTGAGATCATTAACATCAATATTTGCGATGCGTCGTCTTAATCATAAAAATAAAGATTAAACAATCGCTGAAATTACTAAGTTTATATTTCATCAAATAATATCTTGTTAAAAAATCTTAAAATTTCAATCAAATCAGTTTTAGTAGGATCTGTTAAAACTAGTGGCTTGTCAATAGCAAATAAAATTGCCGAAAATGTTGCTTAAGTCATTTGTAGGTTTAGTGTGATCTGTTAAAACTAGTGGCCTATAAATAGTTTTCAAAATATTGCCTAGTTACTGAATTTTTAGAGCAATTGAACAAACAAATATTCTACCTAACCATTGAAAATTGTACAAAAGGTGGCAAATTAGGTGAGGATATAATGAATCTTTCACGGTAAGCAATTATAAGAAAACATTACTGTTAATTGGGTAAAGGCATAATGATAGTACGCAGCCAAATCTGACACGTGCCTTGTGTATGTATATATTAGATTATACGTAGTATAGTAATAACAAATTGTTTTTGTATACATATTGAATAAAAAATCTGCAGAAATTGCCAAACTGAAGAGGAAACGCCACTACACATCCTATATGGTTGTAGCCCACTCATGCATGAAAGTAATATCTCCTTTGGAAAGTTTACACCCTATTCTGGGGAGATAAAAACCATTGCTCTATATCATTCAATCCTTATCCCTGACGGGTAGTGAAGTCTGAAATAGGGCGAGCACAATAGATCTATGTAGGTCGCAGTGCTACACGTCCAAGCACGTGACCATAGCTCAACAACCCAATAAAAAAAATAAATAATAAACTATATATATATATAAACTTGGAGTAGGGCGTCGATATTTGCAACACAGTTTCATACTTCAGTGAAGGGAAAACATATTATGCCGATCCAAATAAATGGGATAAGGAATATGCAGATGATGAGTTTTATACTTCTGTGAATGTTATCGTTCTACAGAAATACCATAGCAATATCGTATACGTTATTATGTTAAAAAAAATATGGTACGTTTCCTTTGATTTAAAAACAAACAACTGAATAACGATTTAATTTATACTGAACTGAGCATATCTAATAATTAATTACACATAATATTCGCAATTTTGTATAAATTAATGATTCTACTCTCAATGATTTAAATTCTTGTCTACAAGACACTCGAAACGACGTAAACATACGGTTATAATAGCACTTCAAATATTGTCTCTGGAATTTTTCGCGCGTTTTTTTCTCTGCCTAATTTTGTATGCTTAATATAAAGTTATTTTATTCCGAATTTTTTCCGTATTGCATATGTGAAAACTATTTTATTATATTTTTAAAACTGACATCGTCAATTCGCATTTCGACAACGCTAAACAATTAGTTTGCTGAAATCTGAATTATTAAAAATTGGGCTCAGTATCGTACCCTGGGTGAGACCAATGTAAGTTTCATTTAAATTAGTGTTACGTGATTTACAATGTTATACCAATAGCTACTAGGATTCAAATTGAATAGCGCATTAGTCGGGAAGGCGACCAAGGTCAAGTTGAGGTTCACCAATAGTTTTTATAACTTCACCAATTTAACTTTTTACTTAGGTTTTTGTCTGTGGTTTAATACGTGACTAGTTTATATCTAAATTACAGGGTACAGAATTTTCTAATTTATTAAAACATTTTGACTTCTGTTACATATAAAAATAATTAACATAGGTATATAATTTGAAGCTATTACTCCTCTATGGACCGACGATCGTCTTGGAGATCGTCTTGGAGATTTTTGGGGGAGGCCTATGTTCAGCAGTGGACGTCTACCGAGCTGCGATGATGATGATGATGATGACTTCTCTAATATCGAGTATAATGCACTCGTAATATTTATTGGAATAATAATAATAATGTTTAATTCTAAAATTGTTTAAAACATAAAAAAATGTAGCTATTAAGTTTCTTGCCAGTTCTTTTCAACTGTACTGGCCTAATTTAACAGTGGGATAGCGATATACAGTGTGTGACGTCCAAATGTAGTAAAAACTGTCCTTTTAAAAAAATACATATGCAAAGATTCTTTCATGCATTTATCCAAAGGAAGATACTTATATGTTTACACTGATACTACGCACCGATACTTATATGTTTACACTGATACCAAGATTAATAACAAAGATATGTTAATAAATAGGCGAACAGAGAATCACTGATGAGCAACAATCGATACAAAGTAAGCAATGAACGTAAATAAGAAAAAATGAGGAAGAGTGAAATATTGAGTTTATAGTTGAGTGTTTTAAAAATTATTGCATGTATATGGAAAGTAACGTTAATCTTAAGAATATTAATAATATAATAATGTATCTTAATAATATTATAACCAAGGAAAAACTTCCTCAGTTATGAGTGTCAGTGAGTGTGGATGGATTGTTACTCTTTCAAGTAAAAACTACTGAATGTATTTTAATGAAACTTTACAATAATATAGCTTATACATCTGAATAACAGATAGGCTATAAATTTCATGCGGAAGACACCGCGGGTCTAGATAGTATGATATACGACCTTCAACCCATGTTACACTATTGACACTATTCAGTCTAATTTGGAATTTAAAAATAAATCTGTATAGATATTTGTAAATATGTACAAGCACATTTGAAAAGAATAAGGGCTGAGTTTCTTGTCAGTATAGATGATAATAATTTTACATTGATATACGGTAGTAGAAGCAAGTAAACGATAAATAATTAACCAGTTTTTAGCATTTATCTTATTTACGATCTTACGCAAATTATAAACAATTGTACTCTTGAGATTGTAATCTCCTTTTATGAGACGACATCAAGGCCGTAATCAGACCGTTTCGTTAAAATAAATTAATAACATAATAAAACAAGATTTAAACAAAGCTATTAATATCTAAATATGATCTATATTAATATAGGTACATGTTTTAAATAGGCTATTTTTGATACGTAGTATTTTGATATAAATATTTACGAGCTCTCGGTGGTTTAGCGCACTGCTTTACTCCCGATCGTCGCGGGTTCGATTTCTCGCACTGTACAAAGATTTGCATGAGTATGATTGTTTGTATTCATCTTAATGTTTTATATGTATATTAGCTACATGTATTATACATATAAACCTTCCTTTTGAATCACTCTATCTATTTAAAAAAACCGCTTCATAATGTGTTGCGTAGTTTTAAAGATTTAAGCATACATAGGGACGGATAGACAGCGACAACGACTTTGTTTTATACTATGTAATGATAATGTATCTATTTACAAAAAAAAAATGTTTCTATGTATTTATACTAATTACTTTATCAGTTGTCTAGTATCCATAACAGAACCATAGTTTGGGTCTAAGTAACGCTGTGTAAATTGTCTCGAGATTTTTTTTATGGAAATATATGTAATTATGTATATTGATTTTGAAGCAACATTGATTGACTCATTTTCTTTAACTTGATTGGATTAGATAAGGAAAATTCACTATTCTCTCTGTTGAGTTTATTGTAAAAAGAATTAAATAATAGTTCCCAGCGGATATTAATGCTATACCTGCTCTATCCGCATTCAATTTATAAATAATGTATTTCAAGGCGGCTGTTATTAAATATTATCCTCGGTGGTTTAGTGGTTGTGGCCATTTTACACCAGATGGTTCGATTCCTTGCATGATACAAACGTTTGTATTCATGAGTATGATTGTTTGTATCTGTCTGAGTGTTGTTGTTGTATGTATAATATGTATGTATATACGAAAACAAAATATCTATGTACTTGTATCAGTTATCTAGTACCCGTAACACAAGTTTTAGCTAGCTTAACTTGGGACAAGATGGCGCTGTGTGAATTGTCCTGAGATTATTATTATTATGTTCTAAACAATTTTAGTATTCTAAAACCCAGTACGTGACATAAGATCTTTGACATTGAAACGTTTTTGTCATCATATACACACTTAACTGTAGTGGTTACGTTGGCAAGAAGTTCTGCGGTCAATTATTTCATCATCAACACAAGCTCCACGTTGGGACAATGTAGTATATTTTCGTTTTAGTTATCATAGTTTTTTTACCTTTTTATTATTTATATTTGGAAGTTTTGTACATAAAATGTGACCATGACGATCCTATCGTACCTATACTAAATAACAAAAATAAAATAAAATAAGATTTACAAAACTTATATGAGACCATCCAGAACAATAATTTTGCTGCATTGGAAGCTGATTCTGCCAATATTTCTGTTAAACGTTTGTGAATTTCATGGTTTCTCGTTGGCCATATAGAAGCCACTTTTTTACTAAATAAATAAATGACCCTGGACAATCCACACAGCAAGACAATTAACACAGCGCCATCTAGTCCCACGGTAAGCAGAGCTTGTGTTATTAAATAACCCTGGACAATTAACACAGCGCCATCTAGTCCCACGGTAAGCAGAGCTTGTGTTATTAAATAACCCTGGACAATTAACACAGCGCCATCTAGTCCCACGGTAAGCAGAGCTTGTGTTATTAAATAACCCTGGACAATTAACACAGCGTCATCTAGTCCCACGGTAAGCAGAGCTTGTGTTATTAAATAACCCTGGACAATTAATACAGCGCCATCTAGCCCCACGGTAAGCAGAGCTTGTGTTATGGCTACTAAACAACTGATAAATATACATACTTAGCTAGTTTGTTTTGTACATACATACATAATATACATAGAAAGGGGGAGATAAGGGGATTGTTAGTAATGTGAATTAATATCCCCATTGCTAGCAATGCACCTCGGTCGACCTCCACGAGGTTCTCCCTGGAGACCATCGTGATAAATTCATGGTGATTTACCACGATGGGTTAAGTTATCTGATTTCATATTCATCTTATCATACTCTTTCGAGCGAGGAATCGAACCTATGACCATGCGGAAGTAAAGCGCTGTGCTAACCGCTAGATCACCGAGACTGTAACAATTAATTGATAAGTTATAATTGATTGTTAATTGACGTAATATAGTGTGAAGGTATCTCTTAATAATTATGTAATTTACCCACAAGTTTACATAAATAAACGGATAAGAACTAATTATAATAATTAAACGATTAAACGATTTGTCAGACTGCAAATTGGCCATTATAATCCATTTGTAACGTGTGTTTTAGTTTTATATTTATATTATATCATTTATATATAAAATTCTCGTGTCAAAATGTTAGTTATTTTGCGGAAGTCCATTTTGTTAGTTTTTGGATTTGTATTATTATGTTGAATTCCGTAGGGGAATTAAACAAAGTAATATAGGTACGTCCAATAAGTCATTACTAAATATATACTTTTTAGCAACCTCAAGGAAGCAAGAAGTTATACCTATTCCTCGTAATTTTATCGTATTTACGACTGATATTTTTAACACTTCCACGCAAATTTTCATGATTATATTACTAATGCAACTTCCAATTTAATTAATTCGCTGTTATTTAAGCAAAACCCTGAATTACAATGTGACGCGCGATACAGATGCGCGACTCAGTTCTCGCTGTTTTTTGATGAAACTGCTAATTTATTGTTTTAAAATGTCTACAAAAGAGTCATTCAAAACATTGCTCTATATTGATAGCAATTTATTTCCATCTTTTTGCCAGAGCTCAAATATAAATGGTGACTTATTAAGAATATTTATATAACTAAAATTAACTGGCTATGCCCATTTGTAGCCTTTGTGCTATTCTGATATATAGACTATATTACTTTAAAGTATCATTAAAATCTGTTCATTAGTTTTTGCGTGAAAGAGTAACAAACATCCACTTATACTCACAAACTTTCGCATTTGTAATATTACTAGCTGTTCCCGCGACTTCGTCCGCGTGGTATTTAACTTTATTTTTCTAAAATAGAAGTAGCCTAAAGAATTATTTTGTTCGTCTTAATTTATTAATTCCATTAGGTTAATTGCCGTTCCACTGATAGGATTGGGTAGGACAAACTAAAATATTATTTAATGGTGGAATTTATCAAAATCCTTTAGGATGCCTACGTTATAGTAGCTTTGCATGCAAAGTCTCAGCCCGATCGGTTTAAAATTGACAAAGTTTCATACAAACTTTCGTCCCCTATTTTATCCCCTTGGAGGTAGAATTAATCAAAATATAGTGGATGCTTATGACATAAGACATAGGCATCCGCTAAAAAAGGATAATACTCACAAAGTTTCGAGTTTAAAATATTAATAAGATTGAATATGAATTGTAGTAATGAGTAAAATTAAACGCTGTAATGAGTAAATAAACAATCGAATCATGCAAATGAGTAATTAACACTTAATTTAGAAGGTGATTTTATTGTGAGTACGCATGCTGCTGGGCTTAGTGATTTCATTTTCTGTTATATATCGGGAGATGAGGTACATAACTGAATCTACTAAGAGGCTATATTAAGAAACCATTGTATATTTTATTGAAAGTATTTGTTCTATAAAATATATATTCTCTATATATCTCTTCATAGGTCTACATCCACATGGTAGTGGGGTCACATTTCTTAATATCAAAATTTTTTTAGCTATAAAAATATAACGAGGTATTTTCCTAATATCTTCAGTTGTTTAGCTATAAATGATCTTATATATTTTTCGTTTAAATAGTTCGTAATTTGATTAAATATGTTATTTCCTATAAGGAAAACTACGTACTTCTTAAATTATATTTACTTCCTATAAATAATTAATATGTAGGTACAGATATAGTGGGTGGAATAAATATATTTTATTTCCGCAATATTCCGCAAGATTTTGAACTTTTATTCGGTCCGGAAAATAATTCATAATTTTAAAATATTACATTTGCCTTGTCAAGAAACACAAAATAAAGAAACAGAGAAGAAATTCATTAGTAGATAATGATATTAAAACGTAATGATTAATGAACAGGTAGACAAAACATGCCTCTTAGTGTCATTTCTGCGTGCAAAGAAATAGAAATGAACCCAAAAATAACCGAGAAATAGGATAATTACGGAATATTCCATGACTTCCAAAGTTGAAGTTGTTTCTTTCTTCAGATTTAGGTACTGGAGTCAGCATCGGCAGTTCTGTCTTAGGAGTTGGTGGTACAGTTAAAACTTCTTGAGGACCTCCATAATTTGGCCCGTTTGGTTTCACTTCAGAAACATCTTTAGTTGGCGGATTGTTTGGTATTTTTGGCGTAGTTTCTACATTTGGTGGTTTCGTTGGTATTCCTTGGATGGCTTCTGTACTTGGTGGTTTTATTGGTATTCCCAGCGAAGCATCCGAACTAGGAGGCACATTGGGTATACCTTGTGGAATGTTAGCATTTGGTGGAATATTTGGTATACTTTGCGGTGATTCAGGTTTCCCAAAAACTCCCGATGGATTGTTGTTTTCGGATACTGTAGGTTTATTATCATTGAAATTAACAGGATCATATGGTACTTCTTGAGGATAATCTGGTTGATTTTGGTTATTTGGCGGATATTGTGGACCAATGTTTGGAGGGTACATGTTAAAATTTTGACCATAATTATATTGGTCCCCAAAATTTGGTGGTGCGTTTGGAAACATCACTGGTCTATGATTTCCATATTGGTTCGGGTAATAGTTGCTCTGATTATCATCATTGGTGATACCAGGTCTTCTGAATGGAAATACAAACATTTTGTTACTGTCCTTATCTTCGGGGCTTAAATGCAGTAGGCCAGTTAATCTATTTCTGATTCTATTTGGGTCCAATACGTTTGGAAGGTGGAAGGGTTTACGGCGTTGGTCATCGTCTTGTTTGTGGAAAAAACCTAGAGCATTAGCAAAAATAAGTATTTTAATTACATTTTTTTAAATGTACTATAATTAAAATATAACATATTGGTAACAATTATCTTTTAAATTAATAATACTATTTGTTTCTACTATATTACTATGATGAGTGTGTCTTTATTAGACTTTATTTGTAGTTTATTATCAAGTATGAAGTTGTCTGTATGAATTTGTAATTGAAATATTATTTACGATTGTTTAAATGATTGTATATAAAATAAATTAATATCCTTCCATATAAAGTAAATTAATCACTAACTAACTAAAGCTACTTGAATTTAAACCTCTTTATGTGGTTATAGTTATTTAACGCTGTCAATAATAAAATGATTATATCACAACAATTAAAATATGAATAATGTTAGTAATTTATATTTTATTTGTAATATAAATAAAATATAATTATTTGAACATATTATACATAAACTATACGAGTGCAAAAGTATTTTCACTGCATTATTTATATATAAACATTGAATGTATTTGAATGAAACTTTACTTTAAGATATATTATAAGAGAACGGGGTGCGTTCTCTTAGATATTAATCTGGAAGGAGGTCAAGTGAGCGAAAAAGAATGTGCAGACGAAATTACAGCTTCACCGGAAGATGGCAATCCAAACCCACGGCAGGACTTATGGAGTGGCATAAGTCTAACTATACGACTATAGGCTTTGGGCACCGCTAGGAGTTCGAACGTCTGCTCAGGCCGTCGTAATTTCGATCCCCATTTGAATTGGACGGGGATCGATCGGAGGATCGACCGATTGATTGCACACGAAATCACGTGCATTCATTAACAAATATGAATAAAATTCGCAAAGCACGCAATCTTTAATTTAGTAGTGATTTCAAATACTGCGCAGTTCATAGGTCACGTTACTGTTGATAAAAACTTTTTATTTTATCTAACAGTTGAACACAAAAAGATTCACATCATTCTAGGAACAGATATTGCTTTGTCATTGACCACAAAACCTAAATATAAAATGATTAGAAGTGTTTGAATCAAAATAATTATAAGATTGGGCAACGCCGTCTTAAACTAGGCTGGGGCCCTTGGGCACACAAGAATACGGGGCCCTTTTGAAAAGTAAAAAAAAGCTCATTAGGTATAAGAACAATAACATTTTGATTTGTGAAAAAGTGTAGTGTGCCTGACAAAAATCTTTTGAAAATAAATGTGTGAGAAAAATTGTCCGTCCTTCGGCCCCCTGAGAATGGGGGCCCTGGGCACGGGCTCCGTGTGCTCTTATGGTATTGAGATTGGGAACGATTCGTAAAATATGAATGAATTGTATTGTTACTCAAATTACTATTTATTTAGTATAGTATACTATTTATTGTCATAGATAAGATAATACTGACTTATGTAATTTTGCTATTTACCAGTTTGTAATGACACGAAATCTTAAAATTCTCAAATATGTAATTCCGAACAACATTTATTTAAAAGAGCAACACGCAAGTTTTTGCTCATTCTTCTTGTGGTTAATCTGCGTTTCGAATGAGTGGTAGAATAACAAAAATATGACTCTACTATAAATGTGTTTATGGAAAAAAGATTCTGAGCTGGTTAGTTTTTATTTGTATTTAATTATTAAAATGAGCTTCTTTATTTTATTTGTTTTTTAATAAATACTTGACCAGACTTTGTATAAAGTCATATGCTATACCTATTAAATAATATTAAAAATCGCCACTAAAGATTACATTATTAAAAAAAACTCTTTTTTTGTAAATACATACATAATACACATATAAAACACCCAGATCGATACAAACAATTCTAATCATACAAATGTTTGCACTCTGCGTGGAGTCGAACCCTCGATATCAAAGGTAAGGTGGTGTGCTAAACTGCTAGACCGAGGCCGTCAATGCCGTCAATGAAACCTTCATTTGAATTCAGTTAGAATAAAAATAACAAAGTTTAAAACAGGAAAGTAACTCTAGTGTGTATATTGGCCGCCACGGATTGCAATAAAAAACCCAACAAGAACCAAATTACAGTATCTAATAATTGCGGAAATACCTAATCGTCTCTTATAGTCAGAAATATGGTTATTTTTATGGTAACTGTATATAATAATGGTTATATAGATTTGAATGGAATCAAAGGGGATTCACTCATACTTTTGTATGTTATTACATATTCACAAATAAGTGTTAATTATACAGCCACTTTTTTTCTATGACTGGACCGCAAACAATCTGATCTGATGGTAAGTGTTCAAGCTAATATTTATAATTCGTTTTATAAGTTCCAGAATTGTATACTAGATGTCGCTACTCCATATATACGAATAATCTACTTCGCGGTGTTAAGATTTTTGTATGATGTGTTATTATAAATCACTTAGAACGTTTTATAAATTAAGATTTCCCTCCGATCGATAACCCGTCCAATTCCAACGGGGATTGAATTTGCGACGATCTGAAATGAGGTTCGAACTCCTAGCGGTGCCCTCAGACTAAAGTCGTATCCGTCAGGCGGGAGTTGGCCTTCAGCCGCTCCATAAGTCCTTCCTTTGGTTTGGAGTTCCATCTGCACTCGCCCCCTATCGTCCGATTAAGCTGTAAAGGCCAGCTGCGGCCACCAGCATTAGAGTAGTCCGAAATAAAAACTATATAAATTAAGAAAGCATTCCATCTGATAGATTCCTCGTCCAATACAAACGGGATCGATATTACGATGGCCTGAGCCGAGGCTCGAACTCCTAGTGGTGCCCTCAGACTAAATTCGTCCGTTGGGTAGGTAAGTTGGCCTTCAGTTCCAAGAAAAGCCCGAGAAGGTGGCGCCCGTATCCCCGTGCGCCTTCTCAAGAGAGGTGGGGTGGACACCCCAAAATAAAAGCGAAGGGGCCCGCAAACTAAAGCGGCCCAACGCCGCCGGAGTTGCGGTGGACTGGCATTCGATCCCGCGACTCCGACTATAGGCGCTTCGTTGGGATACCTTGGAGTTTTTAGTGAGTAGGAGTCTCACAGTACCCGCGGGCTTCCCCCGGGGCCGGCGGGTCTCCATGAGGGATTTTCTCCAAGTTAAAAAAAAAAAAGGAGCTGGCCTTCCATAAGTCCTTCCGCGGGTTTGGAGTGTTACTCTACACTCACCTATATTTATGTCTAGTGCAGTAAATGCCAGTTGCCCACATAATTAATATATAAAAAATCGTTACAATATTAACAGTAATATCATCAACTGATTTGCCCTTCTAAAAAAAGATTCGTTGTCAACAACTTCCGGATCCGGAATTAAATTCTAAACATTATAACAACCGTATCGTCAGGCTTTTCCTGGTATAACCATCATTGTGATACGGCCTCATGTCTAACTGCTCTGTAGTGAGCAAGGTTACTAAGTGCCAATGACACTTTGACCGTCAAAATGCTTGACGCAACGTACTGTTTGATCATCATATTATGCTTATTAATGAATATTAACTCCAACTTGAGGATCCCATTACAGAACAGGCTTATTATTGTATATATAGACCTTAGTGGTGCAGTGGTTTAGCACACCATCTTACTTCCAAAAATCGCAAGTTCGATACTTAACATGTTACAAACATTTGCATCTATTACTACGATTATTGGTATTGGGCCTATGTAAAATATATATATAAATATATAGTAATAATTATATCTCCGGACAACTCCACAGCGTCATCTAGTCCTAATATAAACAGACCTTGTGTTATGGGTACTATACTCATATAAATACACATAAATTTTTTTTGTAAATGTACATAATATACATAGAAAACACCCAAACCGATATAAAAGATCATACTCATAAATACAAATGTTTGCACCGTGCGAGGAATCGAACCCGCGACCGGAAGGATAGTGTGTTAAACCGATATACTACCAATCCGTCTAAATATATATATTTAAATATTAACTCTAACAAGTGGACTCCATTATAAAGCAGTTTCAATTTGAACATAAAAAAAAACAGTGGAATTTGCGACGTTTATCCGAAAATAGAATAACGTGTTTTTAGTAATATATTTTGTACTAGCTGTACCCGCGACTTCTTCCGAAAAGATAATTAGACAATTTCTCTAAAATACAAGTAGCTCCTAAAGTAACTCCTAAGTTACTCCTTATTACATTAACTGCCAATAAAAGTTCCGTCAAAATCGGTCCAGCCATTTCAGACATTAGCCGCAACAAAAAGACAGACAGACATAAATTGTAAAAAATGTTATTTTGGTGTATGTACCGGATTTATATTCACATGCTTGTAGTAAAAAATGGTTATTTCAATATTACATACAGACACTACAATTTTATTTATATGTATAGGTATGTAGCCGTTTGTGATTATATTATGAGTAAGTATATTAATAAATTTTATATACATCTAACATTAATGTACATAACTTAATAACTACTATACTCATAAATACACAACATTGTCTCGTAAACTGGGTTTGACAACTATATTTCAATTATAATCTATGTGTCATTCTGATGTATATGTTATATCATTGTAAAGTCTCAACAAAATCCGTTCAGTAGTTTCTGCGTGAAAGAGTACCAAAATCCGTACTCACAAACTTTCGCATATATAAAATTAATAATAAGTTAACATGTGATAATAATATAAACTCTTGTGTAATTCATATTAAGATATAGTCAAACCACAGATAACATAATATTACATGTCAAACTAACACTGAATATATATTCTGTAGATTTATCTCAAATACTGATTATTATTGTTAACTCTACTGATAACAATGTAACGCCAAATAAATATCTTTATTGTTATTAAACAAGATACAACACAATCAAACACTCTCTAGTGAGTAGAGTGTGTGAGATATGTAAAAATCTATAAATATTATAGAAATATGGTATATATTTCTATAACATTTATAACTACTTTATTAACATGTAAGTAATAAGCCCTCGATTAAATAGAAAAAATATAATTTTTTAATATTAGAAGCTAGAATTACCTCCTAATATCCTCCATAAGTGAATTAGATTAACCACGCCGTCTTAATCATTATCTAAATACTTTTAAAATGATATATAACACTTCTGTGTAAATTTTTGTTACAACTTTAAAGGAAAAAATAATAATTTAAATAAATTTAAAAACTTTAAATGCGTGTCTTGTTAAAAATGTACATATTGAATAGTACCATTTTTCTATTTAACCGACGAAATTTGTAAAACTCACTACATTATGCAACTACATAGTTATAAATATTACAGAAATATGTGCCTTAACATGTAAGTAATAAATACAGTCCAAAAACATGTTAATAATACAAGTTTATCTACCTAAATTAATTAGCAACGATAAGTTTTTTTGTTATCAAGTTTCTGCTTTGAATAAGTTAACTTTAATCTATGTATAATTTCGTCTGAAAAATCTTTAACTAAAAACATTGAAATCAACAGGTTATTGATTTTAGAAAACATTAACCATCCATTAAAATTTACACATAAAAAATATACCGTCGAATTCTGAAACGCCTATTTTTGGCAAACAGGTTACAAAATATACGAATTGTATAATAGATACATAAAATATAGTAAATATTTGAAATTTGTTATCTAAGGTGTCTAAATGATAAAAATTATCATAACAATGATGATAAAGAAACATATTATATTATAATTAAAGTTCAAAGCTATCATTTAACTAGTGTTACAGACCTACTCACCCTGTTACAAATGATAACACAACCAGATTAGTTAAGCTACCGCTGTACTCATTCAACTCAACAAAAAGCAAATGTCATTTTACAAAGTTAACTTACCGAACTGACACAAAACGGATTGCAAACACAAAAACAAACACACACATAATGGAAGACACGATAATTTGAGCATTTTGGATGTAAGCGCGTACGGCGCGCGTTTTACGAGTGTTTCGGACGAAATTCGCCTTCGCGAATGCGCGGGCGCATGTAGCGGTCAAGTGTGGTTGGTCTTGACCAACATATCAATATAAACTGACCGAGGCCGGTACGTCATCGCATATATATCAAAAGGGACTGATCGACTCGTAAATAACGTCAGGATTTTCCGATGACGGAAAAAATATTCAGTTCCTATTTTTTGAGGACTAATATGGATTGGTTTGCATTTGCATCCGTCTGCAGTAAGAATGAGGATTAAGTCAGGTTAGTTAGCCCATCTTGGTATATTAATTAGAAATTTACCAGATCAACAATTCGTAGCGCTTACAATGTTATCTGATTGAACAGAGATTAAGTAGCGGTTTCTATGATGATTGTCGCATGCCTAATCCTTGTTAATGTAAATATAATTAAAACATCATTTATTAAAAAGAGCATCACACAAGTTTCTTGTTCATTCTTCTTGTGATGAGTCTGCATTCCGAATGAGCGGTAGAATAAAAAAACTTGACTGTTCAAAAGTACTTATATTAAGTTTATTTGAATAAAGATTATTTCTATTTCTAATAATTTCTTGGGCTCACTAGCTCCTATTGCTGAATTGCCATTTTTTTTTATAGATGATAATGGAATGGTGCACCCGTCTGCGCTAACGGTTTACACTGGCAGGGCACCAGTGAAGGATGATAAGATGAACATCAGGTCAGGTCAGTTAGCCCATTGTGACAAATTCACCAGGAATTTATCACGATGGTTTCCAGGGAGAACCGCGTGGAGGTCAACCTGACATGGTACATTGCTAGTAATATGGTCATGGGTTATGAGTCCATATTACTAACAATCCCTTTCCCCCTACTAGTAACCATTATTAAGTGCAATTATTATATTGATGTATCTAGGTAACTGTGTCCCATATTCTACTGGGCGCAGGAAAAGATGTCTGGACAGCTTTGGTTGGAAGACGCATTCCTGGTGGTCACGACCCTCAGCCTTGAGGAATCCTCAAAGAAGATTATTATTATTAACTCCCCCAAATTTCTTAGTCATGCTTTGTAGTTAGGATCATTAATTTTATCGCCTCTCTTACACTAAATATAATGGTTATTGCAGCACATACAAAAGACATCATTACGACATAAATAATATATTTAAGTCGTAATAATGTCTGTATATGTATATGTATATGTAACAGTCGTGTGTATATACACACGACCGTTATTTCAGATAGGGTAGTCAGAGACATTGTTAGTTATCGATGGAGTGTCGTATACATACAACAATACTTCAAGTGTACCCATCTCACTTTATACTAGTTGATCGCTCTGGTTTTGCACGGTTGTATAAGTGTTATACATATAAACTTTCGTCTTGAATCACTCTACCTGTTGCTGAAAACTGTATTAAAATCCGTTACGTAGTTTAAAAGATCATACTGCCCATCTGATGGTAAACAGTTACCGTAGCCTATAGATGTCTGAAACACCAAGGGTGACACGTGCGCGTTTCTAACTCTTAAGAAACCTTAATATACCCTTCTTGAAAAACCCCCATACTGTTATTTCTTTGTTGATCGTCAACTTGCTTGAACTTTGGAGAACGAAATTATCTATAGAGTATAAAACTATGAATTGCAGTTCCCAAGATGTATAATTTTTACATATCATAAAACAAAGTAACCGCCTCTATTTGTTTGATTTTTACAAGATTTATTTCAAGAGGAAGGTTTATATGTATAATACATTCTTGTTATAGTACAGAACAAGTAGAGAAATGCAATAGAAAGGGTCGTATGCTTGATTGCCACCTTTTTTTTTAACTTGGGGAAAACCCTCATGGAGACCCGCCCGCTCCGGGGAGGTAGATTGGCATTGCTGAACTCTTACCGGCTAAAAACCCCAACGTGTTCCTTCTCTTAACCTTGTGTCAGAGTACGGAAATTCGCAAGCAATCTCTAATGCAAGTGCTTGTTTGCCACCTACGTAGTATAAAAAAAAGCATCCGTCGAACCCAGTGAGGGTCGCTGTCGGTAATAAACTTACTTTTAACAAGAGACAAACGGATATAACGTAAATGAGTTACAATTCTGCGTCATACGGCGCCTCGAGCAAGGTCCTTAATTAATATGTCACATACATAATATGAATCTTACGTGAAAATTTAACTGGTTTTTTAATAACGTCATTTAGTTAGACATACGACTATTAATTTAAGAGCCTTTATATAAAATTTCGCGATCAAAAATAAAGAAAATATTGTATATTCATTTAAATCATGATTAACTCTCTGATTTGAACACCGTTAACAAAGCAAATTAAACAGAGAGAGCAGTGACTTCATCTCCTGTTACAATGAATTTCATTTTTTTTTAATTTGTTCGAAATTTTAAATTATTATGTTACACATTTTTGCTGGTAAAAATTTTCATCATAGTTGTAGAAACAGTGTCCGAACAGAAAATAACACCTTTAAAAAGTCTTCAATTGTGTGTTGTTTTTAAATTATTGGGCAACGAGTTAAAAAGCTGCTTGGAAACTTTCACCGTGCTTCGTAATATTAAAGGTTTTGGTTTTATAATACTAGAATTCAAATATATCCAGCGAAATGTGAAAATAAGTGGTAATGAGTTGGACTGCCTCGGTGGTCTAACGGTCTAGCACACCGCTTTACTTTCGATGGTCGCGAGTTCGATTCCTCGAACGGTACGAACATTTATATTCATGAATATGAATATTTGTATCGGTCTGGGTGTTTTCTATGTATACTAGTTGTTTAGTACATAATACAGGCTCCATAACACAGACTCTGCTTACCGTGGGACTAGATGGCGCTGTGTTAATTGTTCAGGGTTATTTATATTTCGGTTTCTGGCAGATTTCACACGACATTGAAATTTTAACAATTCCTGAGACCACTCTCCGTAATATATGCGGTAGAGAATGCGCAAAGATGCAATGACTCGCCAATGGATCGAGTGACAGTTTTTGACTATAATTATTGATTTTCTGTCAACTCTTGACTTTTTTATTAAAAAATAAAATCTCAAATATACTCCTCCATATACTCCTTCTCATCGCTCTAATTTCTCATTTCAATCTTTCACTATTTCTGCCATTAACCTTTGGAATGCACTTCCTGTTGACCTTAGAAGATGTCAAACCAAATTTACTTTGAAGAGGTCCTTGCGTGAATATAATTCCAAATTTCTTTAACAGTATTCAACCAAACTTCTATTGAGATATGAGATTATATAAACTCCCATGAGATTATATGAATATTTATTATATGTAGTTTAAATTTATATTTTATTCATATGTAATCCATAAACTTACATATTTTATATTGGAATATTAATATTTTTATATATTTGCTCATATATATGTATTATTTTTCTGACATATAATTTTTATTTTTTTTTCTTTCAATTTATTATTAAAGTGCATATTATCTCTAATCAACGCGACAGTTGACTGTAGAGAATGCCATCAGGCATTAAGTCTATGTATACTTTTTTGTGTGCAAAAGAATAAATAAATAAATATAAATATTCTTATTTGTTCATACTTAACTAATTGATGTTCATAATTACATAATATAATGAAATCAAGGATTTTATAACGGAGGTGGCTTATGCACCAGTAGGACCGGTAGTGGGTTAGGCTGTGTGCATACGCGCTACTTTTAGTATCGCGATCGGCAACTTTGTTTCTAGATGCAGCGATAGCATTCTGTCAACAATCATTAATTTTCGGTTCGGCAATTTTTAGTCGCTCGATCATTAGTGACTGGCCACTATTATATGCTTACAATAATTGGCAAGTATTTGTTAGTTTTGGTATTTATATAAGAAAATAGGAAGACATAAATGAGAGTATGTTAAAGTATTCAAATCAAATCAATCTTGTTTGATACCATCGATATTAGGAAATGGGCGTCAGATAATATAAAATTTCATTCAGTGCAGCCATTTAATTTTAAATAGTGATATACGCTGCCTCGTGCGTGGTGGCCCCACTGAAAATCAGCGCTGTGGTATAACTATACTACAGTATAAATGCTGAGTGGGACTCACATTCAGCGTTACTATGCGTACATATTCAGCGTATGTTTTAGCGTTTTTTTTTATTTATTTATTTACACACAAATTTATACAACATAATATAAAACAATTGAGAAGAACTGGCAAGAAACTCAATTGAATTACTTTTTTTTTAAATCCAGTTTATTTACAATGCATAGGTATTTATATAGGTGTCTATGTCTAACATTAAATGAAAATCCCGAACATGAAAACTATTGCCATGCACGCTCGTCATTCAAGTAATCGTTTAGTGAGTAATAGGCCTTGCTCAGTAAATATGATTTAACAGATATTTTGAATTTATTTAAGGGTAATTCCAATATATCCTTTGGTATCTTATTGTAAAATTTTATACCTATTCCCATAAAAGACCTATTGACTTTTTCTAAACGATACTTGGGGACAGCAAGTTTGTCTTTAAATCTAGTATTAATATTATGAATCTTGCTGTTGTTCAATAACGTATAAATAAATAAAAGTTGCCAGTGTGCACACACACTAAGTAAGTGTTGCGCAATATATGTCTGTTCATATTGTACACGTGAACGCATCGAAGGCTGGTCGTATATCTGATTCACATTCAGTGTTTGTATACCTCAATGCCGGTTTCTATTTAATCTACAGATTATTACTATGTTCTGAATTCTGTGACGGCCTCGGTGGTCTAGCGGTTTAGGTGCCGCTTTACGTCCGATGGTCACGGATTCACTTCCTTGCACAGTACAAACATTTCTATGAGTATGATTATCTGTATCGGTCTGGTTGTTTTCTATATATATTATATATGTATTTAGAAAAAAAATGTCTCTAACTATTTATACGAGTTCAAACAGTATAACAGTACAGTATAGTAGCAACAGAAGCTGCGCTTAGCTTGGGACTTGATGTGTGAATTGTCCAGAGTTATTGATTTATAAAAAAAAATATGGATTGGTTTCCAGGGGGAATCGCGTGGAGGTCAATCTGACA